GCATTCAATGCTTCCCCTGAGTTGTTGACGTCTGCATATTTCAGTCAGCCTCCGGTTTTTACTTGAAAAGAATCTGTGAGCTGTCCTACGTCTATGATTTTGCAGTTTAATCCATCATGAGAATTCCCGATGATGTTGATTGTCTTCTCAGGCATGCCGTAATGTCGGTGAAGCCTCCATGGCGTTGTCCTGTCCACCCTATCAAATGCTTTCTCGTAGTCAATGAAGCTGATGTAGAGCGGTGAGTTACATTCAATTGATTGTTCCACAATGATCCGTAATGTTGCGATTCGGTCGGTACACTATCGGTCCTTACGAAATCCAGCCTGTTGATCTCGAAGTTGGGCGTCTAGGAAGTCTTTCATTCTCTTTAACAACACCATGATGAAGTCTCTGTCTGGTACTGAGAGAAGAGTGATGCCTGTGTAGTTCTCACACTTGCTGAGATCGCCTTTCTTAAGTATCTTGATGATGCGTCCTTCTTTCCAGTTTGTTGGTATCTGTTCTTCCTCCCAAATCTTTCCGAAGAGAGTGGAACATCTTTGTAGTTACTGCTTTGTTTGTTTTCAAAGCTTCAGTTGGTATTTTGTCTGATCCTACTGTTTTGCCTCTCTTCATTTGTCTGATAGCCATGTTCATCGTTTGTGGGCCAACATCAGTTTGCAGGTCAGTAGGTGCTGCTTCGATGTTGAGTGGGTTCAGTGAGACTGATCTATTCAAGGGTTATTCAAAATACTCTACTCACCTGTCCTACTGTTCTTGAATCTCATTGATTGCCCTGCCTTCTTTGATCTTAACTGGTCGTTATGGTTTCTCATCGATTCCAGCAAGCCTCTTCGTTTCCCTGTGCAGTTGTTATATGTTTCCTTTTTTTGAAGCATTTTTCGTTGTCACTGCTAGATATAGCATATATTTCCACTTATCGTTTCTTGCGCTTCGCTTGCTTATTTGCTTCCGTGTATTTGACCAGTGCCTTGGTTTTCTCTGCTCGTGTTCTACTGTTATTAGTTGTTATTTTCCTGTTCTTCCTTTCTTGAATCTTATCCAGTATATCAACACTGATCCATTCCTTATGATAACTGTTATTATGACCTGAAACCGCATGACATACTAAGTTTATTGCTGCTTTTATCCCTTTTCACTTGTTCTTCATGGTAGTTGCCTCTTAATTTAGTGAAAGTCTTGAAACTTAGTATTGAGAGCAATCTTGAATTTGTTGGATTTGTCAATATCCTGAAGAAAGATTGTATTAAACTTTTGTAATGCTGGCTGTTCAGTTGTCGAATGCTTCATGACTTTCAGTTTCATCTTGGCCACTACCAACTGATTATCGCAGTTTACATCAACTAGTCTCTTTGTTCGTATAGCCCATATGGCCCTTCTGAACTTTTTGTTGATGAAGAGGTGTTCGATTTGGTTTTCTGTAATGCGATCCGGTGAAACCTATGTAGCCATGTGTATGTGTTTCTATGGGAGAATGGTGCCATCTATAGCCAGTTTGTCGAAGGAATGTGGGTTTGCGAATCTCTCACTGTTTCCTCTCCTTTCTCCCAGTCCATGTCGTCTCATAATGTCGTATTTGTTATAGCATCCTAATTTTCTCTGCTAAATTAATTATGTTCTACACTGTTTATCTCTCTCCTTAGGTAATGACTTTATCATTTGTCAGTTAGTTTAACTTTATTTACTTTTGAATGATTTTTAAAATGTTTTTTGAACTCTAAAAAAAATTATCAGTATTTTTCTAAATAGTGTTGAAGATCTAATCTTTAAGTGTTGTAAAACAAATTCGGTGGATTATAAATAAAGTGAATTACAATAAGTTTGTCACAAATAGTTTAGTATGTGGACCATATAACGTACCAGTGACCAGAGACCAACTGGTTTTTATTCTTCAAACTATACATTATTAGGTCATATCGCCGCACCAATTTCATTTTTATAACAATCGAATAATGCTATCAACCGAACCAAACTTTGTTGAAGAAAATCACACTAAAATATTACAGAAAATCGATTGGCTATAAGATCAAACACTTTTAATTGACTAATCAAGAAGACCCTGATACTCAGAAAGTTCAAGTAAATTCACTTGACTGTGTCATCTGAAGAAGCTGTGTACGTACAAACAACATGCTAGTCATCAAAATATTTAACATGTAAGGTAGAATATATGAGAGCTATTTATCCAAGTTAAACTCGAAACACATACAGTAATGACTCATCTGACAGTAAGTTTGGATTTATTTATTAAAGTCCAGTTGAACTACAGAATACTATGTATATTCGTAGACTGGTATGATAATAATATGAGATATAGCGAACTGAATGTGTACGTACATATTTGCTAAAAAATAAATGTGTTATAATCTGCCCCTGTTAAAATTCAACACACAGTCACAGTGATTTAGGATGCATATAATCAATTAACTATGCATACATAGTCTTTTAAAAAAAACATAATTCAGTACACTACCCTAATCCTAACATTTTGTATGAAAATAAAGTAAAATTACTTAAATCAAAAATCCATTTTTGTGTCATGCATTGTCTCTAAGTGGATAGTTTAAATGGAAAAAATAACTTCTATGCAGCATTCCCCTTTCTCGACAAAAACCAATTGCTGATATTGCCTAAACAAGAACTGGGCACAGTAGAATACAAACATAAAAGGTAGTGTGCTGCCACAAAATCAGTATTTCTTGTATTACTTTTATGATTGCCCCAGCAGGGCAGATTGAAAGTTCAGACAGCATGTATTCAAATATATATATTAGGAAAATACCTCATTTTCTTCCTCTTTTATGCTCGTGATTGGACTGATTCTGTAAAAGATTGATGTTTTCGGTGTAATCATGTTTGCGTGCTGACATGCATTAATATTCACACTGGGAAGCACACAAACACACACTTAGAACCTTACTGTTTATTTGGGTGAATTGTATCGATTGAATACATAGTTTTCTGGCAACTAAAAGTGAAGCAGAAGCATCAGTTTATCTTGTTCTTGTTTTAATAGTTCGTTCATTAAGTCTTGAACGGAAGGAAGAATCTGGTGAGTGAAAAATGTTTAATGTCTGGTTAACTACGTTACACTGTTTAGGCCTATTTATTTTAAGATTTTATTTTTTTTAACTTAGTCTATGTTCATGGTTCTATCGTGTGTTTGAACAAAGTTTAGAACTTCTGTATTGCAGTGGCTTATACTAGTTTGTTGCTTGAAGAGATTCTTACTACTACTTGAGACTGTAGAATGCAGCTATTTATGAATAACAATACACATGTTACATTTACCATTACTGACTTTTCTGCAGAGGAATAGACTAGTTTAAACCTGCTGTTGAATTCCAAGTTATGATGTCTGTTTAAGATCACTGATAGTTTAGAAAATTTGGTAGTTGTAAATTATATTGCATTTGCGATGGAAACACTTAAGAATGATTGCTCAAAGTGATACCTGAAATCATTAATCCCAATAATTAAATCTTCTTGAAGTTAACAATTCAGTGCTTGTATATCTAATGGCAACAAATAGGAGGACTGTTCGATTTATTTTATGTTCAGCTGATCTTCAACAGTTCGTCTAAGCGAACAACATCTTTCATGTTTATATTGAAACTAAGTGTTAAATTTAGAAAATTGTTAAGTTATCAGTGTTTCTGTATCACTCTGATAGATTAGGGACTTAACAAAATCAATTAATTCAATTTTTATTTTATGATAGTTTTTACAAAACAAACTGTTCTTATATGCAATAGTGAGATTCCCACTACTTTTGACAATAAACGGAGTATAGCACTGATAAGAAAACAGAAATATGTACATGAGCTTCGATAAAGCTAAAAAAGTTTGTAATAATGAGTATAAATCATGTAATTCAGTGAATCACATCATTTTGTAGTAAGTCGTTTTCATTAATCGATTAGCAAGTTCGGTATTATATCGTTATGATTTAGCTCTGCTAAAATGCCAATAATCAATATTATTTAATATTCTTAGCAAACTCATAATTATTCTAACCAATTAGTGCGTAATTTCGCTAAGACGTCATTCCATTTTTCTTAAGAAAAAGAGATATGATACTCATTATTAACAGTAGGAGGACAATAAAAATAAACTTCCATAATACAAATCGCAATAATGGATCACTAGATACTAACTTAAGCGGTTATAATGAAGTTTCGTTCTCTGAGCTGGATGTTTTCGTTATAGAGCTTACATTGTTCATTTGAACAACCGAATCAGCATGAACAACCGAAACATCCAGCCCAGAGAACGAAACTCCACCATAATCTTCCCCTTGAACTACAAATTTTCTTTGCCAGCTTAAACTCTTATATTTTCTTAATGAAAAGGATTATCTGATATGGAAAGAGTGACTAGTAATTTGTATTCATTTTAAACTGACCGGTCAAAATATGCATGTTACATAACAAATAGAGGTGAAACAGTTATTTTTATCAACTAGAAAATGTTTTGAAGTCAGTTGCTTTTAGCAATGAAAATTATCTAGAGAACCATGGAAAGTCTTAACGATCTGAGTACTTACTTTTTACCAATGTGAAAACCTCAGCTGTACCCATTGACGACTTCAAACACTTATTTATGTCACGACATCATTTATCTACTGAATCGATATTCAGTATTCCATAGTTCCCGAGCATCTGGTATTTAGCATTAATTTTTCAAATAAGAGGAAAATTATCGGTATTCTTAAGTAACTCACCATCTAGAGACAAAACCAATCTTAAGGATCTTAAATTTTTTGATTGTCTTGGAGAGCAGTGTTATCTGGACAGTTAGTAATTCATATTACTAAAAAGTTATAATTTTGTTCAGACGATCGGAATTCTGACCATCTTAATTTCATAAAACACAAAGCCATTATTCATATTTAACAACCATCTAGATTACATGGATATGTTTATCATTTTTTATAAGGGTGAACAAGCTGGAGGTTTCTACGAATACTTAACAGTGTTTTAGGACGAAAAGAGAACATGTTCAGTTCCACTAGTCCTATGAATAATAACCTTATGACGTCTAGTATTGTATCGTCTGCACCAAGTGATACGATTATTTCCTCAACTACCGGTATTCAAGCTGATTACAATAATACCATCGGCTCATCAACTACTCTACCGTCTGGAATCACATATACAAAGGATAATGAAGACATTCAATTTATCAACACCACATCTACGTGTTTGAATCCTGTTTCAGACATTTGTACCAAAGTTTTCAATGAAGTTGAAGCAACTAGTATATTAGATCCAATTAATTCACATCAGGTAAATTATTATGGGTATAATTATAATATACCTTCTAAACTCTATCATACATAATGTAATGTTTCGATAACATAAGTTACTAATCAACTGATATTTACTGTTGAGTAATATTATACATTTTTCACGGATCGTCTTTTCACTGTTCACGCTAAACGACGGAGATTCCAAATCCTAATATTTACCATTTTCTATATAATACTTTGAGTATTTATTTGGGACACTCACTAAAGAACTATTCACTAACTTAAATGAATTAATAACTAGGATTCGCATTATATTTAATAGTGGCACGTCGTACATTTATCTATCTTGTTATTCTTAGCTATATGCTGGTTTTTCCTCATCAGTAACAGCTCATCTAAGTGTACGGTTTTTAGCACAGTAAATTTTATCCTGACTCTGAACATACGATTCACGATAAATAAATATAGTAATTTAGTTGTTTTAACAGTTCAACCGACAACCAGAATATAAGTTGAAAGGCTATCAACTGAAATTCTTGATTAAATGTAAACAGTACAATTTTACTGTTAGATTGTATTATTTGTTGTATGTTACAAGTGTAAAACATCATCTTGAAATTAGATCTTCATAGTCATTAATCCAAGTCTTCGAGAGCGTGATATTAGGATACTGTACTAAAGGTTAATGTCAACAGGTTTCTATATAATTTAATCGCTGATTACAGGATAAAAGTATCACATATCCCTAGATTCCATTTTCTTTAACCAATGGCACTAATAACTGTCTGACTGATTGATGATATACTATTGTAAAGCGAACGTTACAGTTATTAGGTACGTAATGTCTGTTAACTAAGTCGTCTAATAAATTACACTCCTTACGGAGTTACCCTTAGGTCGAAATGTATTTACGTTTTCAGTTGACTAGTCCTTCTGCAGTGAACGGAGGCGTAAAGACGAGACGGGATAAGTGATTTATTTGAACAAGACACCACAGTTTGCTAGGAAAATATTTACACCTTATCTTCAAACGTCAATTTGCTAAACAGGCGAATTATAAAATGTCTTCTTCCACATGTCTTCTAGTCTTCAAAACACTGATCGCTCCATACATCCGAATCTAGCACTCTCCACTTTGGCAGTCACTTCAGGGTGACACTATTACAAATCCACTGCATACTACCCATAAGTCATATTTTGAGTTATATATACCACACTTAGTTGTAATTAATGAGTCGGTGAATGTGTGATGTAACTATATTTAATTTTTATTGGGTTTTGAATAATTTTACTGTGCATTCCATCTTTTAGTTTAAATTATTCAAGATAGCCTAAGTACTAATCGTTTGATCACTCTTTCCCTTCCATTCAGTCACGATTCAATACTTAAGTGAAATCCAGTGCATTTATAAATGAACAACGAATTGTTATTTTAATAAATTATGGTATTTTTGTCCTGTAGAAAGTTTTCTACTCCATAATTTGAAATGACTAAAATAGGCTTTGTGATCATTACACAACATACCAATCATCTATGCAAAGAACTTACTAAAGATACTGAAATCATGTGAAGGTAACCACAAAAGCTCGATTTACTAGAAGTGGGGAAAATATTTCCTTACTTTTGCATGAAAGGAAGATTTAACAACTGTTAAGTACTCGTCTCCTATCTAGTCAAGCCACAAATTTCTAATTTGAATTGGAAGTAATAGGATCATTTCTGGTCAGCAAAGTACATGACTGAAAGTTAAACAAAGATTGCGAAGAAATATATCAAATGTTCGTTCACTAACCGCACTGGTGTAGAGTTAATAAATAAGTTTTAAAACTTGTTTAACGGTAATTATATATTTGTCACAAACTCTCACCAGTAATCAGAATAACTCAACTTGAGAATGATTTCGAATCACTGTTGATTAACTGACTAATATATCTTGTGAACACAGTTTGATTGGTAGCGAGAGAGTTCTTTTAACCAGGATTCATCAGCTAAAGTCTATTTTGCCACTGAGTTTAAACAAATTGCCGCTTACCTCTGAAAGTGAACAAACTTGAATTTTATTTCAATCATCTTAGATAAATCCCTACCTAAAACCATAATTTTAAAGAATTTCTGAATATTTGGTTTAGGTTTCTTCATTAGAAGCTGCTGTGGCAGCAGCTGCTGCGGCCTTGGTCGTCTCATCGAAAAACTCTACAGCAATATTACCGGTTCCTACTTATGGTGATCCTGCCAACCATTCAGCTCTTCTCGCTGACTTATCAGCAAAAGATACTAGTTCTAATGCTCAAATACAAGATAAAACAGAAACAAACTATTCCTTTACTCAATCAAGCTCTTCTATAACTCAGAATCATAAAGTTTCATTGCCTTCCCTGTGTGGAGACTTACAATTGCCACTGATTACTTCAGCTACGATCACATCCAGTGCCTCTCCTACAGTTACTAGTTCCATCATGAATTCTGGAACAGCAGCTGCTCTAGCAGCTAATCTAGTCAACGTTGGGCCGAAACGTCTTCATGTGTCCAATATTCCATTCAGATTCAGAGAAGCAGATCTTCGTCAGCTTTTAGGAGTGAGTTGTAATAAATTTTATATTTAGTCTGAAACTAAAGTTATCATAAGTGAAAAACGAAGGATGGTATTAAGTGTATAATGTGTATGAGTAAATTGACCCACTACAGAAAGTCACTCGTTAGGTTAAATTCTTATGAATACATGGCAAGAGTTTCAGTTTAGGAACTATTTACTTGTACTAAATAATTTTTTCCACATCAATTATTTGTGTATAGCGACTCAAAATAATATAGATACCATGGGCTGTCTCGAATAATTGAACTAGTTGCTACTTAAACTGTCTGCTACTAAGAAGTTTCCACATCTACATACAACAATCTCTTGGTAAAAAGCCAACCAGCATTCAAGTAGAAATAAAATCAAAGATTCGAAAAGTCCTTTCGGTGACTTTGGTCAACTAACTGTAGCATGTACAGAATTCTTAATATTAAACAAACATCAAAAAGTTGTCTTCATCTTCTACTATGGAATTAATCTTATCGAGAATTTTTAATGTATTAGAAGCAAGCAAACTGGATAAATTTACTGATGCATTTTAAAGTCATAGATAATGCAATCATATACCAATAAAAAGACTATGTGCTTTCGTTGAGATTGGACATTCTTCTTGTAAACTGATTATATCTCATGTAGATACTGTTCTCAGAGTCACACACTACTATGATACTTTGAAAGGTTTAATGATTTCAAAGTTAAACAATGTACCAGTAAACTTCTGATTTTGGGATCCATTTAACTACTTACCTGACTGTCATGCAAGTCATTAAAGGTAATTTTCAACTGTATTCGAAAGTATGAACATTAATTCCTTGTTGGATAGATGCGTAAACTCACATCTCAATTTTCCTAAACAATATTTGTTGTAAATGAGGAGACTAGATAATATTTCCAAAATGGACTAAAGTATATTCGAAACTCGCTATCAGTGATTTCCTTGTCTAGTTCCATTTGTTAAAATAGGACATGCTTCTCATCTAATCAACTTTATGTTGGATATAACTAACCAAGTGTCCAAAACTTCTCATAGTTTATTAGACTGAAAAATAGCTTATTTCTCATAACAAATTTACAAGCAAACAAATCAGCAGTTAACTAGTACTCACCAGTGTAAACCTTAATTACATTAACTAATTAACCAATTTTGATGACAGTAAAAGTAAAAAAATGTAATATTTTGCGATCATTTTCAATATTTATCATGAATATGACGTGTTACAAAAGGCGACCTATTCAGCTGTGTCATTTATCTTTCTTTCAAACACTGATAGCCATTCGGTACCATTCTGGATGTAGAAATCATCTTCAATGAACGTGGTTCCAAGGTAAATTTAGTAATTTTCAGTTTTAGAAATATTTATTTTTTATTATTCTCAGGTTACTTCGTTGTTTGTACTGATTGGAATTTTCGAAAGTAAATAAAACAGTATGAAGTGACTTTCAGCAAGGTACCTGTTTATATATAGTCTTAGTGAAATCTTATCAGTGATCATGGTAGTCTCTGTCCTCTGATTATAGATATACTGAGAGAAATAGTAATAACTTTGACGTTCACTGTTGATAATACCTGCCAGTTATTAAATAAAATAGGTAAGGTATTATTAAGTTTTATTTAGACAAAAACAATTTTCAAAGCCTTTGGTTAACTCAGGTTCTAATGATTTGGAAGTATTTACAAAAGTGAAAATCGCTGAAGACAGAAAACCAGATCAGAAGTAGGACAGACAGGTACAACGCAGAACTTCGTACTTAAGTACATCAGTTCAGGTTGCCATACCACGTCAGCACAGAGACATAACTGTCAGTTCAAATCCAAGAATGATAGCGATAGTACAACTATTAGCAGTAATCGAGAAGATTAGGGAGCGAAGATATAATTCGAGAAGTATAATTCAGTAAGATAAATTTAGAAGAAGAAAGGTAGAGATTATGAGGAATGCAGAAGATTAGAATTTCATAGAACACAAAGAGTAGATGCACCTGCGCCATTGCAAACTATTCTGAGCCATGTCGTTCAAGGTCTCTAACCATTGGTGACTTTCGTCTCGTGGACCCCAACCAGGTAGCCTACATCTACCAACATGACTCAGTCCACTTGTCACTGACTTGATCAGAAGTAGGATGAACTCAATTACTAAGTCTACTGCATACTTGATTCTGTATTTTCTGTTATTGCTACCGGAACTACATCCTCAACTTCTCATAGGACTAATAACTATACTTCATAAGCTTTTATGGAAGTATTCAGTGCCTGAACAGCCATTTCAAACTCTAATTGTCATCGAATTCCAGTCAATCAAAATTAAGTTGGAACTAGAAGTCTAATTCTTGAGTTAGCTGTTAAGTGAATAGAGATAGGATCATTGTTTAACATTCACCTCCGACTGACTGACAGTCTGGAAACCCGAAATCAATTAGCTTTGATAAATATTTAAGTGATAAATTTTATAGGTTTTATGTTCAGTACTAAGTAGGTAACATTTAATTATTCAGTGTCAAACTATAAAAGAACTTTCTAACTGGTCACTACTAGTTATTTATGCGATCGTTCAAAATACAAGAATAATAGTAATTTTCCTCCCATTTATTGCATAATTGGACTATTTAGTTCATATTCCATTATTTTGCTCTTGTTTTTTCTATAGGGGACATCGTTGAAAATTTAAACCTTAATAAATCTTATCTCTAAATAAGTATCCTCCTTTCTATGCATTATTTTTTCTTGACAGGGCTTCGGTTTCGTCACATTCGCAACAGGCGAAGAAGCTGATCATGCAAGAGAAAATTTAAATGGCACAGTAGTTGAAGGCAGAAAAATTGAGGTATTATTTTATTCGAATATTGCAAAACATATTTTTTATTATCTGGTCAAGAGAAAGAAAAAATTATCATTTAAATGTCACACTTTGTGATAGCTGTTTACTTAAACTTAGGTTACTGTCATCGTATCTCTCCACATACGAAAAGGATTTGCGAGAAACATAACAACAAAGAATACCCATGACCTTAAATTAACTGAGTCACTCATTCTACATTTCACTTTCAGCCCATCTTCCTAACTAACCACAGGCACAATTATTGCTTTGACCTTTGGTGTTTATTTGTTAGGTGAAGGGTGTGCGGAAAAAAAAATCAATTTAGTTAATGTAGTGTATAAGTGTAGTAAAAGAATGTTCCAATTCATATGGATGTGTCTACAAAGAAGTTTGAAAATCTATGCTATATTAAAACGATGCAAAGTTCTATGTTCAAATATTTTATTTCCTACAACCAATTGAAATTCGCCTCATTGAATAGAAATTTGTTTGAAGCATAGAAAAAGCACCTTCTCATGGGAAATTGTAGATTTGATTAGGTAAAATTTGTTAAGAGTTGGACGGAGAGTTTATAGGAATTAAAATATCGTATGTTTTAATATTGCATTGTTTTAAACTATCTACCATTTACCCAAAGTCAAATAATTACTGACTGACAGATGAAGGTTTTCTCAATAAAATTAAAGTTGTTTGTACGATTTCGGGTTAGTTTCCAGACGTTTGGAAGTAGGAAGGTAATAAACAACGGCTTTGGGGATTTTCATCTGTATTAACCCATAGCCCCTGTCTAGTAGGAATCTTTAATCTATAAACCCTGATACGGACACTTTTGGTTAAAAATCACTGCATCAAATTGCAAACTCTGATATCTTGGAATGATTTGTTATACAGCAAAATATGTTCTTTGGTATCATCTACAATACTGTTGTGGATTTCGGAAGTTAAATTTCAGGCCAGTCGTTAATGATTGTTCGGGAAGTTTTCTGATCCGGTTTTGATACATCACTCGACCTTAAACTGTGGAATTCGTGAATATAATCTGCTCTAACAACAGTCTACCATCCTTGGATTTACTAATCACCAGAACTGACATAGAGAAACTGGAGACTCAAGTATTTGGGAAGCCAACCCAAACATACCTATTTTTCAACTACAGTAGCAGTAACCCTAGAACTTACAAAATAAACTACGTACAAACGTTCAAGAGAGCGAAAACACACTGCAGCACACTAACAGAATAAAAATACGAAGAAAATTAATCTGATGACCATCTTTCTAAAGAACGGCTATCCACGCAACTTCATCAAAAAATGTCGAAATCATCAACAGAAACGAAATCAAATGCAGGAACCAATAAACGGATCATTCTACTATACATAAAAGACATATCGAAAATTACACTATGACTACTGAGATCATTTTGAATTGATCTAGCACACAAACCAACAGAATCACTTCAATCAATCCTATGTAGACCAAAGGACAAAATGACAAAGGAAGGAAAACCAAATATCATCTGCAAAATAAATTGCTCAGACTGTGAAAAACACTACATAGGACAAAGTGGAAGTCCTCTTCAGCTTCATTTACGTGAACACCAATCAGCAGTCAAATGCCACGACATTTCTTCCCTTATTTCAGTACATACGGACAACTATGGACATAGGTTCGATTAGAATAATGTTGAAATAATGGGAGCACAAAGCTTGGTACTCAGGTCAATCAGCAAACGACAAATACATCGACACTGACCTAATTTATCAACCAATCATGAAAATCACAGGCAAACACAGGATCAAGAAAAAGATCAAAGGGGGAATACAATCTAAATAAAGATGCGAACAACGACAAGTTTAAGGTCAATGATAACCAATCAAGATCGAGATTAACAGAACAAGCTGCGGATCAAAAATGGAGAAATTCTAATACTCCACTTAAATCCGAAGCTTGTGATGATGGTGTTGTTCAGAGGAGCGATGAAAGCTCCACAACAAAAACATCCACCTCAGAGAACGAAACCCCACCATAATAATCATCCAGTGAGCTACAAATTTTCTACACCGACTCATTAGAAGAACCCTTATATCAATAGATTAGGGCATGAGTAAGCAGTTTCCACACCGTCTCTGTGCTAATTTGGTATGGCAGTATGAACCTATGTACGTATGTACGAAGTTCTACGTTGCAACTGGCTGACTGACTGAGACTCAGTGATTATCACATACTCGATGTTCATGATTTTCATTTACGACTTTCAAATTCAAAGAACAGACGCACCCAAATATATGGTGGGAATTTGATGGTTACTGTGTGTTATCGATTGATATTAGGATTTTTAGAGTTTGTAGAAAGGTGTTCGGTTTAAAATCCAAAAAAAGAATTTGGATGGTAGATAATGGACGAGTATGATGCTACGTTGTGGAATTTCAATACGGTACGTATTTTAAAATTTTCAACACTAAACCATTACTTCCCCAGTACCGACTAAATCACTACACTACAGATCATTTTGGAACAATCAATCGAATGGAACTCACCACTCTAAACCAACTTCATTGACTACGAGAAAGCATTAGATAGCGTGGACAGGACAACACTGTGGAGGCTTCTTCGACACTACGACGTGCCTGAAAACATAGTCACCATCATACGGAGCTCTTACGGTGGATTAAACTGCAAAATTGTGCATGGAGGACAGCTGATAGATTCGTTGGAAGTAAAGAGCGGTATCAAGCAGGGTTGCTTACACACACCATTTCTCTTTCTCCTGGTGATCGACTGGATTATGAAGACGTTAGCATCTGGAGGGAAGCGTGGTATTCATTGGATAGCTACGATGCAGCTGGATGATCTAGACTTCGCAGATGATCTGGCTTTTCTATCGCACACGCAACAACAAATGGAAGAGAAGACGACCAGTGTAGCAGCAGCCTCTGCAGCAGTAGGTCTCAACATACATAAAGGAAAAAGCGGAACTCTCTGATCCAACACAACATGCACCAACCAAATCACGCTTGATGGAGATGCCTTGGAGGACGTTAACACCGTTACATATCTGGACAGCATCATCGACAACCAAGGTGGATCCGATGCAGATGTGAGGGTGCGGATTGGCAAAGCAAGGGCTGCATTTCAACAATTGAAAAATATCTGGAACTCCAAACAACTTTCAACCAAAACCAAAATCAGGATTTTCAATACAAATTTCAAGACAGTTCTGCTGTACGGAGCAGAAACTTGGAGAACTACGAAAGCCATCATCCAGAAGATACAAGTGTTTATTAACAGTTGTCTATGCAAAATACTTCGGATTCGTTGACCAGACACTGTCAGCAACAACGTACTGTGGGAGAGAACAAACCAGATTCCAGTGGAGGAGGAAATCTGGAAGAAGCGGTGGAAATGGATAGGACACACACTGCGTAAAGCACCCAACGGCGTCACGAGACAAGCCCTCACGTGGAACCCTCAAGTTGAAAGGAAGAGAGGAAGGCCAAAGTACACATAACGCCGAGAAATAGAGAAATACGTGAGAAAAATGAGCAGAAATGGGAAAGAACTGGAAAGGGAAGCCTGGGATAGAGTAGGTTGGAGAATACTGGTCGGTAGCCTATGCTCGATTGAGGGTAACAGGAGCAAGTGAGGAAGTATATTCACCACTCGTGGTAACAAGAACGAACTGATAATTTTTTTTCCAATCTAGCGAAAAGGATATCTCTTTTCAGGGAATAGTAGATTTTACTAACTGGACAGCTACTGATTTGGACAGACTCACTTAAAAAGCTTCTTCCTTACAAGTAAAGCCTTTGGAAACTATTGTTGAAGTGAGATTTATCCACTTGAAATATTCTAAACTAATGGTGAATGTTATTTTCCCTCTCCATTCACAAGATTTATCATATTACATACTGCCTAAAGTAGTTATTTGTACTCAATGATGTGATCTTTGTAAATAATTAAATCATTGTTCGTTTAGATTGCAATTTTTCCGGTGAAAATGTCAAACTACAGTGTATATAGTAGGCTAATTCTAAAGTGAATTTAATCTAAAGGAGTCGTAAATGTTATGATCAAGATATCATATACTCACTCAGTAGACTGTCATTCAGAAAGCTTCATATTCTGATTACACAACTTGTCTATTGTTGCCTTCATAAATGCAGTATCAGAAATCAAAAAGGTTTAGTGACGAAACATTGCTGCACCTGTGATGTTTAAATACTACATTTTGAATCGAGTGAAACAGATAACATAGTGCAGAATGAATAACATAAGAGTTTGCAATATTCGAATGAGCACTTCTCTGTACAAAACCTATATCAGTCATTTAAATGTTTATCTGCTAATTTTGAGTGTGTGTGGGGGGGGGGAACTGCACTAAACAAAAGCTTATATAGAGTGAAACTATTCGTTGCTTAAACACTTGAATATAATAGTGAGAAAAGGTCAATATATCACAACAACTAACAGCTTAAGCAGATAACTTGATTGATCACAGTTATACGCTATTCACTTTGATAAATTGAATAGTAAACTAATCTGTAGTTTGTATCATCGTTGATTGATAATTTTTAGCTCACACACTGCTCTACATAATTAATTCTATTTCTGTTATATAATCTGCATAAAATTTCTGTATATCAATAAAAAAAATTAACCAAGTAGTAAATTATTTGTGAAATTTGATTTTCTGCCGTATAAATTTCCAGCATTTTAGTAAATTTTCCCCTTTCGAGTGAGTGTAGATTTGTTAGCATTCATGGATTAAATATAAATATATATATATATATATATATATATATATATATATATATATATATATGTTGAAGCTTCTGTTACTGAATGAAGCCCGTCAGCTGGAAGTTAATCTCTCTTCCATGTTTAGCGTTTTTCCGGCAGCTTTTTGACACGCATGATTTCGGCGGCACGTCATTTGTTCATAGAAAAGCGATTTAATTAGGTTCGCATGTGAAATTACTTAATTGTTTCTATGTTGATAAAGTGTTTCATTTTTTCAATTCTGATACGTGTATTATTTGATAGACTGATCGATTGACGCATGTAATGCTGCCTTACTTTAAATTTAGTGTCCTATGGTTGACAAAATCAGATTCAACCATGTTAAGAGGAATTCACTAGTTATATAGTTAAGCTACCAATGAAATAAGAGTATTTGATGTGTTTAAACACAGTGATGCACGAAGCTTCTTATTCCTAACTATAGTACTGGTTAATTATGTCTTTCAATCAGGAGGCTTACATGAAATCTTTCTAATTTGATATTGATTATACGAATTATGGGTGAAATCGGAAACCTCATCTGGCCTAGCTACCTTCATCCCACTTAATGTGAAACATAAAATGTCTATCGGTTTATCTAATACAGGTTAGTGGAGTAAGTTATGAAGTCATTTTTGCTGTTTGGTTATGATGTATAGGTTTATAGGTGGAACATACATCATATGAGCAGGATATTATAGTCACTGTTATCATAAATATGATTTTATGTGAATTTCTAGAAAGCTTATAGGCATTGTTGGCAACTTTTACTAGGATCACGAAAGATGTTAGTGGAATTATTATTATTTTCACATACTGATATTTCTAATTTAATTAAGCTGAAGATATGTTTTCTTTAACTAAGCCTGCTGCCATTTGATTTTTACTTCGAAAGTTAGTTATTGAATCGAGTATGAAAGGCTTTCGAATTTATATCACTACCTTCTAGTCTGATGCAACAGATGGCTATTTGCTGATCACTTCTCTCGCAAAGCCGTACTTTATCACATTTCATTGCATTTAACAATATATAACAAATGACAATCCAGGTTTTATAATGAAATAAAAGGAGTAAGGACAAACTGAAGGTTTTAACCAATTGTTCGGTGTTTTCATATCCATCGGACAACACTAAGCCTCAATGAAATCATCCATATCTTATTACTTTTATTCTAAATCGAATTGTAAGACAAATCTCTGCTACTCATGTTAAACGATGGCTGAAAACTGCCTTGGAAATGAGTTTTATATTTGTTAAATTGGTATGTTTGAGGTCTTGTTCAAACAAACTATCACATAATAGCTTAAACAGATGCGAATCTGATTTATAAGCGCTTGAAAATTAAAATTGATTGATATATATCGACTTTGTACGTGATGCATTTTTAGTTTGTCCTAAATTCATTGCTAAAGTCTTTCTGATGTGCATTTATTTACTTGGAACATTTCAAGAGTTACTTTTGCTTGTTTTACATTGCATTAGTAATTAGTTTCATTACAGTTTCAGTTGTTCATTGATATTTACTTGGGGATTAGATACTTTCATGCTTGTATCATAGATTTGAACGTTTATGTTTATGTATCGATCTTTTTTATCTGACTAGATTAATAATGCTACTGCACGGGTTATGACAAAGAAAAAGTCTGAATCACCGACACTCCTGAAAAGTAAGTTCATCTTACCAATGAAGTATGCGATGTGAAACAGTAATTTATTTAAAGATAATTTTATTACTATTTTACTGCAGTAAATCACTATTGTTTTTGCTTCTCATCTGATATAATCGTAGTGACAATAAACATTATTGTTATGGAACAGTGATTTAAACTTAGAAAGTCATCTGAATTGTAATTAAAATAATTCATAGTGTTGACAAAGAAGTAGGATAAGTTGCAATATATAAGTTATTCCACAGATGACGAATTATTGTCAATAAGATTGTGGAAAACGGTCATCTGCCATATCAACTAACAGGAAGAAAGTAGATTTAGTTACTTAAAGCTCTCTTGTCCCCTAAATGGGAATTTTCGGGCTTCAGCTAAAAAGCTTAAAATTTGAAGTTATTTAACTGATAGGTCATAAATAAAATAAAATTCTAATGGTTGATAAAAGTACAATCCTCTGACTGTCAAATTTTACCACAGAAATCATTATCTTCCCACTCTATATCGATGAGAACCAAACAGTTTTCAAAGAAAACACCGCCCTACATATTGACAAAATTTTCCCAATCCATCTCAATTTCCATATTACAATATCTAAAATGATGGTTCGTGTTGATTTTTTGTTGATAAGTTTCATGAAACAACTGATCAAGATTTTGAACCCTGTTTTAGGTAAAAAGATTAATGCATCATAACAAAAGTCATCACGAGACAATAACTAATATGACCGATTGTACTTCCTAGTTTACGGTGGTCGTTTAATCCTAATCCGTCCGTTTATATATATATATATATATATATATATATATATATAATTTCTATGCTATGAATAATATTTCTGGCCTTGGTTTATGAGAATAAACTAAAACAGATGCGCATCTAATTCTCTTTTTCGCATCTGCTTTCCTATTTCTTGGAAAAATCACTTTGCATTTGGAAGTTTCGTCTATCATCACCGATGTAAAACTACGTTAATTGACGTTTTTTATCTGCTGTGTGAAAATTTTATTTATTCATTCACAAACGATTCGTGATGCATAAACTTTGAAAACGTTTTTATTTAGTTTTAATTTTCGTCATCTAAGAATGAATGAAAATTAGTAATAAAGATTTCATTGCATTATTTGATGCTTATTTAACTGCAAGATAACCTGAGTACTGTTTATTTATTGTTATTTTAGCAGCAACAACGCTTCGAGGTGTCAGGGCCCTTGTACCAAATACATCTTCAACAGCTGCAATAGCCGCTGCCGCAGCTGCATTGCGTGGTGCAGCAGGAATTACATGTGGATTACCAGTCGTTTCAATGCCAACACCCAGTAACTTAACGTCTATGGTTGTCGGTTCAGGTATTAATGGACTATTACAAAATCAAGCTTGTTTTGCAAACGCAAACCCTACACTCACAAATATGGCTGCCTTGCCGACTGGTAATACATTTAATGCGAATCAAGCTTTATTAGCAGCTGCAATGGCAAGTGCTTCAGGGACACCCATGAACTACAATCCAGCAGCTGCGGCGGCATTTTGTTTAGCTGGAGCCGACCCAAATACCGCAGCTTTACTTGCTAGCTATGCTGCCGCAGCGTTCGGGGGAATTGGAAGTTCAGGTCCCGGATGTCTTGGAACCAATAATGGCTCCGTCAATGGAACTGCACCATCAACTGCCATTCAAAATTTTGGGTCACCATCTCAAGCACCTGGTTTAGCGAATTCTTTAGCTGCTATGGCAATGTTTCCCTCGACAGGAACTATTTTAGGACCAAATGGTCACACCCCACTGGTAAGAAATTATTCATATACTGCAGTAATACTGAGTCAGATAAATCCCAAGTAATATCATATGACACAAATCAGCATAATTTCAAGTAAAAAACGACAGTCTGGTAATGAAATAACTATTTATAAATGTGTTAATTTTAATAATCCATGCGCTCTCACCAGTTTGATTGCTATCCATCAAGTTCCTGAGTATATAAAACCCTAAAAACCTTTGTCGAAGAGGACCGCAATTACGACCATAATATTACGTGGAAGTATTGAATAAGGCCCCTATATGATTAGAAATGCTCTAATAGTGTTCAAGATTATGTTACCATACACACTATGTACAAAAATAGTAAGCCATCTATCAAAACAATCGTGAATCTACAGTGTTGCTTTATTCAGCGAATTCTGCCTCTTGATCATGGCATATTAGGTTACGCCAAAATAATTATATCACATTAGATACTTACGAAAGTTATGACTTTCATAGACTAAAAGTTCACAAGATGCCTCGTCAGGAGCTGAAATCATTAAGACAACTACCAGGTGGTGCGATATATTGTTGTTTTAGGATGAAACTTTTTATTAGTGAGCACCCAAAGCTTTTCTGAGGGTAATAATCCTGAGGTTTGATGACTAGTACTTTGTAAACAAGACATTCAAATGTAATGGTTTGAACAAATTAAAATCTTCATTAACTGGCAACACTTATTAAGCTATTCTAACGAGGTCTATTGACATTTTCAGTCACAAGCGGCTGTGTTGATTAAGTGTGTATATGACTAATCTGGGAACGCATGAAAAACTCATCTTTGTGTAAAGTTGTCAGTAAGTGGCGTTTTGTGGCTTTAAAAACGTGACTGACTGAGGAAAAATCTAAATATTTAGCTGATTTGGTGGTGACCACAAAAATAAAACGTCTAATTATATACATGGTCGTTAAGATTTAGAACTATTACATTATATAGATTCATCATTCGTTTTATTTTCCTTGTACTGCATAAGAAACCAGCTGCCGATAAAAGTTAAATTTAGATTACCTCGTAAAACAGAAAACCATAAATTTCCAGTAAAATATCCAATATTTCTGTTTGATTACTGAACTGAGAATTGTACGTTTATCTCTAATAGGTTCAGTGGTTCGATCCTAGTTCAAATATGGGTGTTGAACTAGAGTTACAGCATCGTATTCAACAGCAACAGCAACAGATTCAAGCGAATCAAAGGGCCCTAGCAGCAGCTGTAGCTGCTGGCTTTACACCTGTAAGTTTTCCTGCCACGAATACGATTGAAAACTTGACGGCATCGATTTCTGGGAATCCTGTTGGGTTGTGTGGAGCCTTTTCGCCATCTCAAGCAGCTGCAGCTGTGGCTGCAAATATGCTGAGGGCTTTTTCAAACTCAACAAATTCGCTTAGTGCTGCTAATTTAACATCAAACCGATCTGGCACAACCAACTCAAATATACTTGCTAGCTCAGCCTCCGGTTCACAGAACGCTACGGCTGTGCAAATTCAAGCAAATGGAACTCATACTTCAATCTCTGGAAGTCAAGTTGCGGTAAGTGCGTCAAATACACCAGGAGTGGTCCAGACTTCACTTTCTGGAACAAATCAACCTGCGATGGCTGCTGCTGCTGCAGCAGCAGCAGCTGCAGCTTCCCAACATTTTCCCACACAGACGTCAGTTAGTCCAACAGTGATGTCGTAAGTACATAATTTCAAATCATATGTTCATTATACTGTTTGAATGTCGTCTTATACTGATTTTTAGTTAATATTGATTTGAAAGACTTTAGTCCGGGATTTATTGGCTTAAATATACTGTTTTTAATACCAGCGATATGAAGTATGCTAATTTACGGACAAATTGTAATCCTTGAATTTATTCACATCGCCTAGATCGTATCAAAAGGAACGATAAAAGTTGATGCATTGTGATCATAGACCAAATTAGTTTGCAAAAGTAAATCATTTTGTTCTTGTAAACCTAATTATCATCAATTGTACATATACTAAAACAAAACTGATGTGTAAATTGTCGATGATCAACTTACAAGAAATAATGAAAACCTGCAATGTCACACATTTTTCGGTTGCTTCCAACAAACTAGAAATGTTATTTAAATCAAATTAGTTGCTATTAAGATTCATTGTCATTATTTAAAACTAAGTTGGTTGATAGAAGTTACACCATATTTCTTATTAGCTCTTACCTATAACTGGTTTTGAGAATGTAATAAGAACTATCAGTCTACTCATTGATTGATTTCATCACATACCCGAACCAGCGTTTGTTTCAGAGCACTCACTTGGTGGCCGGTTCAAGAGGTTTCTTAATACTTTAATAAATATTTTTAGGTAGACTGGATAGACTGTATGATAGAGAAACCAATATCGCATCTTGATTTTTGATTTAAACTAGAACAGTATTTTCTTGAATCACATAATAACCACTTCCATAATTTCTTAACATTTATCCTATCATTTAGGATTCAATTATTTGGTAATATTATTGTATTAATTTTGATTTCAGCTATTTACCGGATTTAAATGCAGCGGCGGCCGCAGCAGCTAGCATAGATCCTTATCTAAACAGACTTGCAGCAGGTTATGCGATAAACAATGCAGTGGTCACTACACCTGCAATATACCGAACTAACTCAAGCTATCAACGTTTCTCGCCTTATTAAAATCGAGTATACTTCTTTCAGCCTTTCATCGTTTTATTTATATAGCTAGCTTTATTAAATGGAATGCGATTTCGTTAATATTACTTATTAGTTGCAACGCTCATTTTATGCAGCTATGATCATCTGCTCGTATGTTTATTTGCTCTTATTTATCTAAGTCTAGTTTTTGGTGTGTATTGCTCGTCCGAAGAAGTTGATGCCGCGCATAAATAGACTAAGTTGATGTACTAACAGAAAGCAGTAATTTATTCTTACTTTGAGATTGGGAATTTTTTTTTACTACCCACCATGATTGACTAATATTAATAGGTTATGCTGTATATCCAGAATGTGTGGAAAGGAAAGTAAACATGAAAAACCAAAGTATATCGGAGGCGACTTCTTGTGAATGTAATATTTTGAAATGCACAAAGCAACATTTGTTACTTGTTTGTCCATTCAGTTTGCTTGCATATCTTACTGCTAAGAGTTGCTGACTTCCAGCTAAATGAAAAGCACATTTTTCAGGTACTTTTTATTTATTGTTTAGTACGTCTTTGTGTTTGATGCATGCACTCTAGTTTTAAAAAGTCACTAATTATTGCTACTGTTGCCACTTTATGCAACTTCTGGTACTGTCTGTATCACTTTACAGGTATGTGTCCAGTATGTCTACTTATATTTTTGTACATAAAATCTACATTCTGCTTTTGATGATGACAATGATAGTACGGATTTTAGTTTCTTTTGTTACTTCTTAAAATCTTGATAATTTGCATTTAAAAACATGCACATGCCTGGTGAGTTAAACATAAATTTATTACCTCCTGTTCTCTTCAAATTCTATCATCTACCTATTTCCATTCTTATTTCTACTGAAATAATCAAGTACGTTGAATGCCTGAACATTTACTAATATTGCCTTGATTTATATCCTCTCTGCAAAAAACCACTAAGGTAACATTTTCGCCAAGAAAGGCATAGTCGTGCGTACGTCTATTTTGTATCGATTGAAATGAGTTGAGTGAAATTTAGATTTCTTTTGCTTCATTATTCGTTCGTCATTTGGTTTGTTTGTATGATTGCTTTTATAAAACTTAAATAGTAATTTTAACAGTATTATGATATTTATATGCTACTTATAATTAAGCATGTGATACGTTTTAACCAGTAACTATATAATCTTAAAGCAACAAGTATCTTTGTAGCATTTTGAGCCCCGTTTTCTTACACATACACGTTTTTGAAGTCTATTTATCAATTTACTTGACGTCTGTGAAAGTTTATTTCAGTTTTTTACTCTGCTGAGAAACATTCATCCTATCTAAATGGTCTGTGTTATATTTATTCTGAGGGTTTAATTTACAGTACTTTCTGAAAGGAATTTTATTTGTACTTGTATTCTTTGACTACTATGATTCTATATCATTGTTCTGTACTACATTTTATTTCTTACTTGTATTTTCCGATAATTATTAACGACTAGTGATCAAAAACGTCCTTTATAACTGTAATATTTTACTTTTTAAATAAGTTGTGATTACTTTATTGTCTAAGTCTTTTTTATTATTGTTCCTATATTTACTTATTCTCATTTCAGTAAGCGAAAAAGAAATAAAATTAATTCACTTTATCTAAAGTTTTTAATATGATATCGGTACACGTTTACACAATATCGATTGATAAATTATAAATACTAAACTAACTTCAGTATGCTAGATTTGTCAAGTACCTAACAGTTGTAAGCTTCCAAAGTTTGAATTTTTCCACATCAAGGCTGTCCAATGTTAATGCGATCCTAGTGGTACTGACGGGAAATCTGGTCTTATTCTCAGTGATGAATCTAAACAATGCAAGCATTCCATGTAAACGCTTACTGCGCCTACGTAGATTTTAGGGAGGGAAACTAACATTATAGTTAAAATATAGGCAAACACATGTTTAAGGGATCCTACAGGTTATTTATAAAAGTTGGTAGTATGGATTCAGTTAAGTATTACTACCAACTCATACATTTCGTGAGTATGTCCACTTCATGTGACAGCTTGATAGATAAAATCGAAATAATTGCTAACACCACAAATTAGAAGTAACGGAAAATTACAACACTACTTCCAGTATTCCATGCGGTTACAAATGCAATGGACATAGTTTATCACACCATTCTCTTTTTTTAATGAAATGGTTTTTTATGACACATTTTGAACTGTAATTATTTATATAGATGTGCCACTGGTGATGAATAGGATGTTCTAAATGACAACAAGGTAATTATCACTCGGCTGTCAATATGAATCAGTCAGATGCAACGTAGAACTTTGTACATAAGTACATCAGTTCATGTTGCCATACCACATCAGCACAGAGAAGTAATCGTCAATTCAAATCCAATAGTAGAAGAGGTAGTAAGGGAATTAGAAGTAATCGGAGAGGTTAGGATTAGAAGTTACTATTCAAGAAGTATGATTCAGTGAGATAAGTTTAGAGAGTCGAAACTAGAGGTGTTGAAGAATCCAGAAGATTAGGGTTTGAGAGAACACAAAGAATAAATGCACCGGCGCCATTGCGAACGATTTTGAGCCATGTCATTCAAGGTCTCTAACCATCGATTATTATCATCTCGCGGACCCCAACCAGGTAGTCGACAATTACCGACATGGCTCACTCCACTAGTCAATGACTTCATGGATTTCTGCCATGTTTTGGTTTATCCGCCCCTAGCTTTCTTCCAACCTATTCCTAAACTACAAAACAAAGCTCGACGAGGCAGTCGGTGGTTGGGCATACGCAATACATGTCCCAACCACCTCAACTGGTGAAGTTTCAATGCATCATCTATTGACCTGAAATTCTTACTTAGAACCCGTTTCCTAACAACAGTATTGCTTACACGGTTGTCCCACGATAATCAAACGCTGCTTCGGAGACACCTATGATCGAAAACAAGTAACCTACGAATATCTTCTACTCTCATTGGCCATGTTTCACAGCCATAAAGTAAGACGGAGCGAACCACTGCGCAGTACACTTGTCCTTTAGTCAGCAAACGGATATCTCGCCTACGCCATAAGTGACGCAGGTTGGCAAAAGCCAATCGAGCCTTCTGTATCCGTGCTGAGATTTCGTCAGTCACCAGGCCATCGGCACTGATGAGACTCCCAAGATAAGTGAAGCGGTCTACACGTTCGACTACTTCACTCCCTATCACTAGTTCAGATGCCGATGCGACCCAGTCTTGAAGCAACATTTTGCATTTCGGGTGGGGGGTGGTTAAACCGCATCCCGAACATGCTTGCATTGTTGCTTAGGGTAGTCAGAAGCTTTTTATTGCATCGGATCAACAAAGGTGTTGTAAACTGAATGACATACTGTATTTATCTTTTCAGAATGTCAAATGACCTATTAATTTTTCAGGAGTACTTCTTTGTAGGTTCTAATGTGATATGCAATAACTATTGGCTTAAGTATTAATCTTCATTGAATGCGCGACATAGGTTGCGATTTTTCAATATTTAGTAATCTCGATATAATTTATTTTACTCTTTAGATTAGAACTGATTAAGTTGAATGAGGAGCTTGTGCTTCAACATGATTCAATAAGAAACACTCAAAAAAGCTATGAACGCGATCGAGATAAGTGTAGTTTGGTTTACCTGCATACACCTTGTTTTATTATCTCTGTGTTCAAACCATATGCTGAAACTTTGGTGGTTAAAATAGCTTTTTCATTCCGTTGTTTTCTATCTACTGGGATAGGGGTTTCAACAATGGTTAACATAGGTGCGACCGAACGAATCCTCACATTATAAGATTGATTAATCAATACCAATCAGTTGATTACATATGATTAGGGTTGACATTAATCAGTCTCGCTACATCATAGATATATTAAGATCTTGCTAAGCATACTTTAAATAACGATATCATTCATGGAATTTCTAAAAAAATCATCAGATGTTAGGTTTGTGAGATTTGAGGACGTCACGGATATTCAGAGTCGGGAAAAGTTTTTGTCCATGCCCAAAGCGAAATCAAACAGAAAGTCAGGAATGAGGAGTATCGAAGGTATATTGGAATGATGAGTGGGATGTCGAAGATCGAAAGAATTAACCTTACTGGTTGATATTAGGTTGTGCGTTCAAGGTACTTTAGCATAGACCTAGAAAACCGTTAATTATTATTCATCACGAGTCTTGCTGATAATGTTGGTATCGAGTCATCTATAAGACGTGTGGCATTTCAAGTTCGATGTGCTTAACGTTGGAAGTATTATTAGGAGATATCAGTACCAAATCTTTAATGAAAGATGACTAGAGTAAAGCCAAAGTATCCTACTTTTTGCATCCTACATATCGTAGATTCACCCTACTCTTCGGTACAAACAAACCCTTCCATGCACACAGTGGACAGTACAACCAGTAGAATAATTTATATCATTGGTCTGTCAAGAAAGCATGACACAGATAGATCCACGGACTCGATGAAATTCATAACACATTTCTCCTTTAATAGTGTTTTAATCTATCTGTAACCCACGGAAGAATAAAAACGGCTGGAAGAAGTAAGTAAGTAAGCCTCGTCTTTAGGGATGTATACGCGATAAATATGAGAACTGTCGGCACATAAGCCTTACTAGCGAGGTTCATAAGGTTTTGGAAAATGTTATTCCAAAACAGTTCTGTTAGTACCTAGATGAAACCTGATTATTTCTGCGTTGTAGCGTAGTTATAGAACAGTTTACTCATGTCTCAGAAACTGCTTAGCAGCCCATAATAGTCAGTGAGCTTTGAATAAAGTTTAACACGACCAGCCGCTATCAACTTTTGAAGGTAACTTATTTATGCTGCCGAAGCTTTCCCTATTTGTGGATCAACAAAGAGCACAGGTTAACTCTAGGTTGTCAACCCTAAATGCCTTACAGAATTTGTCCACATGCTTTAAGTTTTGGGAGTTGTTAATAATTGCTTCCAAGTTCATTTCGACATATACTGACAACCAATACGTACACGGTTATTAACAGTGACCTATGTGCTACGCGGACATAAAATGACCCAGAATTCATAGTTACTCAGGACTTGGAAGCTGCTGCACACTGTAGTGCGATAGCCGCAAAAGGTTTCTAAACATTTTGTTTGATACATAGAGACAATATTCATGTCGATGCTAAAATGTTTTCGACTTAGTATACACTGTTCATCCATCCTAAGTCCCGAAGATGCACACAAGCAGTCAGACGCTGTTTAAAAATAAATTGAGTTTTTGAAAGAGTTTTAAAGGACCCGAAGTAAGTTGATAAACGGAACTGCAAAGTTGCCGTATGACAAAAGACTGTCCAAACTAAACCAATTTCTCGTGTCCTATAGGAAGACCATAGGAAAATCAATCACAGTTATTAATTACTGAGTGATAAATTCGAATCTGCTGTACTCTTGTCCTTCTTATCTTTCATACTAAGGAATCTACTAGGATATTCTCAAAAGTTCAGAAGCCTGGAACATATTAGTGTTCACTGACTGTCATCTCATCGAATTACTAACGTGAAGCGATAAATAAATCCCCATCAAAGTTAGTTCTGTAAGTCCTCGATACTGGTTTTCCCGAAAATGTCCTGACTGAAGGCCCTTGGTCATACATCTGCACCATCGAACACTCTGTGTTACGCATCCATCACAACAAATGACATGCTTACATCACTGATATCTCAATGTCTCAATAATCTTTAAAATATGCCTTTGATTTCCTTCGCTTCTAAATTCCAGTTCGAACGACCTTTGATTTACTCAAATAGAAACTTGTTACAGACATAAGCGTTTTCAAACACGGATTATCAGTAATTTCTTCAAGTGGAACTTATGAACTTAGCAAGTGGTTGAAGCCCTATCTATATTCGAAAGGAAGTTGGACCAGACAACATACAGTCATAGCCGAAACTAGCAAAAGACACTAGGCTTCTTAGCCTTTTTAAACAGGAACCTTTTTTATGGACAGTTAATATATATATATATATATATATATATATATATATATATATATATATTACTAATTTACCAATGCTTCTTTAATTTACTTTTGTTGCATGTACCCAAATCGCCTACCGAAAATGTCTGTGATACGTTTAGACTAGCGATGGAAGCCCATAACGAGAAAGCTTCCTCTAGTCCAGCAGTAATTATTAGAAAAAAATGAGCAGTTAAATGTCCAAGTAGGCCTTCTAAAATTTCTATCTGAATTAATCCAAGCGCTACACTCCTGGTTTGACTTATGGCGAAGGTCAATATTTGTAATGTTGAGGTTTTGGACAATCCTGCCTCATTTTTCGATCCATTCAAGTTTCGTATAACATTTGAATGTCACGAACCCTTAGATGATGGTGAGCCCACATACTTTTTATTCAACGATTAACTCCACAACTTTATAATGAAGATTATTAGTGGCTCTGTCCCTCTCAAACGTTCCATTAGTAAGCAGACTTCGATACTAAGTTTGTATCGAGTAAACAGCGTTTTAGTGTATCAGTATGTCTGCCTACGTTGTGATATGTTAGCAACCAGCATCTCGTACTGCTAAGTCACAGTGCATACCCCAAAGATTTAATCATCGGTTCCTAAAATTTCCCCAGAAACCATTACTTAAAAGTCTAGTGGGGTTCTCTTTACGGCTATAGAGGTACAATCATAAAACGTTATATCAATCCTGGGAAATTCTATTAGTACTCGGAGTTTTGTAATTCTAGATCTTAAAAGGCACACTAATCACTACTCGAAACTCAGGTCTGATATTAACCTTTTACCACTGTCGTCACTTGAATATATTGAAACTATCATATAGGGGAATAACTTGAACTCTGTCTCTCGTAAAGTCCATTTCTCCGTCCATCTGTGTGCAGAATACGAGATCGTAGCAAAAATAGTATAAGTCTAAGTTACGATGCCTAGGAAGGGTGATTGGCTGATATGCGTCTCCACGGACTACAATTACGGTCTTTGCCAGTTGGCTGCCCTAACGACTGCTTGTAACATAAGCTATCTAGTTGTGATTAGAACCACTCCCAGATCATTTCAATATTGAGGAAACGTAATAAAGCTGATCTAAGCCAACCTTACAAAATATTTTTCCGACACAAACAACAGAGTTACTGAGACAACCATTTCTGGGTTTGATTTATATGCTAACATTGGACGCTCGGTATTACAACGAGCAGACTAACTTTTGGTATACAGACGTCTTTTGACCTGTTGTAGATATTAGTAACAACCAGTGTCGATTTCTCAAACCTCCCTTTTATCTGGTATTAGTGGCCTCCGTAAACTAACATTCCGTGGTAAAGACAACCTATTGTTATTACACGTGTTGTTTTCGTTAAAGTGGCAACCATTTATCATCATAATTTAGTCATATATTATTTGAATCATGCATTTATTGTGTCTAGCACTTTTAAAAAATTGATTCGTGACATATGTACGCCTTACTTAGGGATTCGGAGTAGAATTTAAAATACAGAAGAGCAAATTGTTAAAGATCAACATAATCATACAGAGCTTATTAAGATTGTAAACAGCAAGAACATCGAATAAATGGAATATTCTATGTAGATGCTCATCTGTAACTATAATTGACCATATTAATCTAAAAGCTTTATATCATGTTAAAGTATTTACTAGTCTCAACAGTCGGCGGAAACAACTCTCAGAGATGAATGTCTTAGGTTGGCAGACCTGCAGCCTTTGTTTCGGTTGTACCTGTTTCCCCAACCTTAATTAGCGAAAAGAGTTTTAGACCATTACCCCGCTTGTCATATGCTTAGGCTAATAAGTTACACCGCTGCATCAGATCCATATGCTAATCTGTTGACAAACGTTCCTTTTTTCAAGCTTCCTCAAATTAATATTCCATTTTTGAATTGTGCTTCTTGGCAACCATTTTTATCACTTAAAAATAGAATACGTCCATATTATTACATACTGTTGTCAATGTTTTCTTGTAATAACTTTAGATTTAGAATGGAAGTTAGTGTACGTCAGTAGTGCCTACAACCCGTCTTTAGACCAAACATTGGATTCCATCTTAGTTGGCCCAATTCCAGTTGGTCGTCATCAGTTTTCTTTTGAGGCTAATGCTCCTGACCCCAAGATAATTCCTAATGAAGACGTGGTTGGCGTAACAGTTGTGCTTATTCAAGCTTTGTATAGGGATAAGGAATTCATACGTGTTGGTTATTATGTTAACAATGAGTACAAGAATGAAGAATTACGTCTTGAACCACCGGCCGAGCCTTTACTTAACGAAGTAGGTTCACTTAATTTGTCTATTGTACTTCATATCCTTGTTCATTTTCATGCATGAAGTAATCATCTATCATGTTTCATAATCTTGTTTAGTTAGCGTTATTTACTTACCATTTACGAGTATGATTACAAAAAAGCAGGTACAAAACATGATAGAAGTGTATGACTTACATCCACATATATTCTTGTTCCTTCTCACTCAGCCTCATTGTAACCTTACAGACGGAAGCCTGTACAAATGCGCACCGAGCCAAACTTTTAAAAAAATGAATGCAATCGAAAAATCAAAAGTATGAAGTTGTTTCGAAAGTCAACATCTGTGGGATGGAGACTGAATGCATTCGCTCCTGTGCAAACTGACGTATTCATCTGATTACTTCTGTCTTACAACCTGCCCTTATACCATCAACAATACGTATGTTAGCACAAGTCTCAACCAATTAAGTCGATGAAGGCTTACGACATCACTGTTCCTGTGTAGCATCATAAACAAACAATTCTTCCAGATATATATGATCAAACATTTGCGGTTCAGCCATGTCGTTTTCACTCATAGGCTATGCTTTGTATCCGTAAAATATATTAAACATAGTGTTACGCTGTACCCTTACCCATTTACAAACATGCGTATAATGCGTCAATAACAATTGCAAGTCGAGTGGTCATTACTTGTTCGTTCGGAGATTTCGTCAGTCACAAACTCATCAACGCTCTTGAATACTTCACTAAGATCGAACAATACTTCTACTTGCAAAATTTTACATTTAGGAGAAAAGTGTATCACCAACATTCTTGATTATTATTAAAGGAGAATTCCATCAGAATCTTTACCTGTGGAGTGAGTCTCTAACTGTTAGATAAATCCATGAAAAATCATACGTGGTTTCATTTTTTGGATTATGTATGCGACATTATGAACAAAAACTAAATAAGATAAGCAGTCTTTACGAACATCGCTTAATGTAGTCAACTCAGATCATAAGTCTCCGAACGTGACTCGATCAAGAGTATTAAAGTGATGATCCTTCAGTCGGTTTTTGTACTCTTTTAGATTATCTTGGTTTACTGAGTATACTGCCACTTATTATCAAGAAATGGAATTACACCTGAACATTGATATGTATATCTGTGTTTTACATTCTGTCAAAATGTGGAGGATCGATAACTAAATCTACCACCAAGTTCTAAACTAACCCAGTACTCTTGGGTTTAGTGTTTCTGAGATTATAGAGACCATTATCCCAATCACTGTGTTGGTCAAACTAATTCCTCTTTGGTTAATGCAAGAGAATCGGTAATCTTTTTATATTTTTCTTCAATCGAAACTATATATATATATATATATATATATATATAGAGAGAGAGAGAGAGAGAGAGAGAGAGAGAGAATTACTTTCAGCTTCCAGCATCCATTTAGTGCCTCAGTCTATGCTAGGTCATCGTCCTTAAAGGCTTCCGTAACTAACACGTTAGTTCCTTCTACGCTTATTCTCTTCCTGTTAGCTTTGGTGTTCGCAATCTCACTAAAATTAACGGGGCTTATGTAAATCTCTCATTCAGGCTATTTCAAAATACCGGGTACTCAGAAAGTATCTGAATACCAGTTGGATTAATGTGATAACTCTAATCAATGGTCACAGACTAGCTGATATGGCTCAGATGCGTTCACTCTTTATCTCCTCTATATTTAACTCCACTATCCCTTCATGTATACCCTTCTACTGTCTTTTTAAATCAAATTCCTTAGGTTTAGTTTTTTTTTAACAGTGTTATCAAATGATTTCAATCTCTTCGTACTAATAAGGTACGGCAACCTGAGCCCACCCACATCTGTGTCAGGTTCTGTATTGATGATGTGTGTTTGTCTGAATACCAGTTAACTTTGTTGCTCAGTGTTATGTTCGTTGTAAAATTGGACCACGGTCGGATATTAGTCTAACTAATATCCGAATTGTTAGAATCTGATCCTTTGGAGGTTTCTTAGCCTGCCAACTTGGACGGTATAATCACTTGCTACCAGTTTTTCAAAAAAGCCAGAAAGAACTTATTTCTTAATGTACCCGGAGAGCGGTTAGTGAAGGCGTATACGAAAACTGTGAAAAATGAAGGAATGTATCTCTATCCTTTCAAGTTCTTGGTGTTTCGTCTAATCAGATAACGCCATGGTGACTACTCAGTGAAATCCAGTCCAGGAGTCTGATTTTGTTAGCTCAATCAAGACTCTGCATACATGCAGCATCACGGAAATTCGGTAGTAAACCCCCCGACACGTGAAAAATGATTCGTCGTGGTTTTTCACAATGTATTGCCCTTGTAATTTCTTTATATGATTATCCGAAATTACTATTTTGAGTGATATTGTCTGTGGTATAAGATTCACGTGTATTCCAATCTTATGCTGATTATTCGTTGCTTTGACTTACAAGAACAGACGGGATCATTCTGTGATAACTACGCAGAAATCAGCTTAAGTTTTTATAACTTCAAAAGTCCTAGTTTACTTTCCCAGTGATGCGGTAGTGTAGCACTTAAAGCAAATTGACTTTTAACCACTAGGTCCCTGGTTGAAATCCTCAACATCTTCAGTCGTGGAGTTTGAGTAGCCTCGCCGGTCCTCATACCAGGAGTCTACCTTTAAGCCGGAAGTTATTGCTAAATACTTGATAAATAAGTCTTATTAGCGTTATAGGATTGTGGAGATTGTTGAGTTTCATTGAAATCATGAGTCGATCAATTTTAAACCACTATCATGAACTAACTAGTGACTAACTTCCTGAGGAAATTCTCAAAGTTCCAGTGAGAAGCCGTGACCAGTACAGTTCAACGGTGTTCGGTGCGAGACAGTCACCCAGCTAAGGTAAGGCATGGTGGTCGCGCAATATCGTGGATTCATTCATGTTGGACATTAACACTGTTGGATGCCGTCCCAGTAGTCAACAGGTTTGGGGTTCACGTGCGACTTCCAATGCCCTCGGTTCCACTCCTGTTCGCAGAGTTGTAGATAAGCATTGCTGATAAGTCTCATACTAGGATGAAACTGCCGTCCAGTGCTTCCAGATTTTCAATGGTGGTCTAACACTGATTGACTCACGATTTCTAGAAGTCTTACCGGTCGATTTTATCCGAACTAAAGTTAAAAAGTATGATGTCAAATGCTTTGAAGATTATTTTCGCACCCATTTAAATTTCAACCATGCAGACATTGAGTAGTGTACCATTTGTTTTTTTACTAGATTTAGTACTTTGCAACCATCACTAGATGGTTTTTGTTACTTCCTAAAATTGAATGATCATTTCATGAAAACATTTTTCATCGTTAAAAGACATTCAAAGCCGTGGATTCATTATTTTTATGCTCGACTTTCGAAAATCCAGTAGCAGATTAATCTTCACCTAATGAGTATCGTTTATAACTTAGTACACAAGTCAGCAACAACGTAGAACTTGGTACGTACGTACATCAGTTCAAGATGCAATACCACATTAGCACAGAGAGATGGAATTGTCAATTCAAATCACATCGTGGTAAAGGTAATAGCATGATTAGCCGTAATGGGAAGGACTAGGGATCGAAGATACGGTTAGAGAAGTATATATGTACTCGGTACACAAACTGGTTTCAGCTATTTCTCTAAATAATTAGTATCTCTGAATGTGATCCTTCGTTGTTGCTCTAATTTTGAATTTCATGAAGTTGAATGCGTGTTTCTGTATGTTTTCTGTCAGCGCGGTTTCTCAAAACTATACATAGGGGGACAACAAATTACACATAAATTGAATAAATCTACGCCTTACGTCATTGTACATTTAGAAACTACTTAGTCAACGTAATTCACCGCTGTACAGAGCCTTGTCCAAATCTCCAACCCCTAAATCTAAAACTAACAGTCATGATTGAATCAAACATTTTCGTTCGTGCCAACGAACTAAGTGGCAAAATTATGGCTCTGTAAAGTTTATACCTAGCATTCAATCATGGCTCCAGTCTTTACTCTACATATCTTAGACAAGGTAAGTAGCGTAGTAGTTTATAAGTTGCGTAGCTGATGCAGTGTATTGCAGTGCATTGACTAACTGAGAAATTATCGATTAAACTACAACAACATCTATAAGGATGAGAATTCGCTAGTTAAATAGCGCTTTACCTCATACTAAGTTCAATGTAATCTTGAATGCTAAATACTTAGCAGTTCCTTACCACTTGCGTACTTTTAAAGCATCATTTTCGAAATCACATCGCTTCTATGGTTCCCATTATTTGGCCTTTAACAATCCTACTCATAAGCTGGAAACCTAAAATTTATATTTTTTCTTCCATTTTTATCATGACAGAAAAAATGTATGAACCTATATCTGTTTATAAGAAAGCTTCTTTCCTAAAATAATGCGGTAAAGAACCGTTTCAATCGTTTGAATTCTATTTTTTTCCATTAAGTTCTCATGAATTTATCATAATTTGCAGCTGGAACGACATATAATAGCTTCAGACCCTCGTGTTACTCGTTTCCCAATTGATTGGGGTGATGGTCTTCTGGACGGGTGCCCAGAACCAGAACAACCCACCGAAGATAATGAAGAGTCTAATTTACTAGGTAATGAAGAACAAGTGGAAAATACTTCTCAATTGAACGGGGAAAATGAAAATGATAATTTGGATCCATCTAATTTATGTGAAGGCCAGTCTGGTATACAGTTTATGGAAAATACATCGTGTATGTCGCTTCACCCTCTTCAGTCAACTGTTTCTGTTGACAGTTTTTAAATTGCTTGATATACATTGTTCTCAAGACTGCATTTTGAAATAAATTTGTCTCTTCAGATCTTATTACACCTCTATGGCGATGTTTCTGTTGAATGTTGAACTTATTGTATTAGGTATTACTCTTTTTTTACGTCTACAAGATTTAAAACGCTATATATTTTTGTAACTGTACAACTGTCCAATGTACCTAATAACATTGAAATCTTACTCGTTTGCTTCTCAACTGTGTTGTAAATAATGCTTTTCCACCTAAATTGTTGAAATACTGCAAACAATGGACCATGTTTATCGCAAAGAACGGAGTGTAAACCTGTAGGCCATAAATGAAACAGAATTCGATAAATTTATTTATTCTCACACAGAAGATTTATAAGAAACCACTATGTGTACTTACTAGTTTTCCGTCTCATATATGGGGAGTGAAAATATTGGTCGATCATCAAAAGTACAGTTTAGTGGCCAGAAATCTGACTCTAATTTGAGCGAACAATTAAATATGCTGTGAAATAAATCTTCAGTCTAATTTACGTATATTATTCTACGGTGAACCCCGTTTGTGCGACAGTGGTAATAAGAAGCCGAATGCGGATCCAAGATGGGTTTATTTCATTCATGCACGCGTTCACGCAGGCAGGAAAGGCGATTGAGCGAACTTCGTATCATGAAGCATGACTAAGTATTTATAGTCAGATAAAGATAAGTCAAACATATGGTAAACGAAGTAAGTATGCACATACCCACTCAAGCAAAGACAACCAATAATTTAAGCGAATTATTGACAAGGTCAAATGGCGTGTGAATGATGACTCTGAAAGAATAGATTGGTTAGCTTGTCCGAAGGCTGGAACAGGCCATGTGAACTCGACATATTTTTGAACATCACAACAGATTTGGTTCTGGACACCATTCAAATCTTTGGCCGATAGCCTTCCGCGAAAACGTTTAGGTCACTAGGACTTTGAACCACTAAGTTGTTCTGTCTTCATATTACAAATGTATAGCCAATAATATGTCTTTACAATTATTTGTCTGATATATTTCTGTAAATAATTATGACATTCGTGTCGTCTAACAATTATTTTACCTGTAGAATTTGTTTTAATTGTAAGAAAAACGTCGTTTAAGTATTTGTCAGTCACACTGAGATACTTTTCATAATGACTAGTAATTGCACTAAGGCCAGGAATTTCATAAACATGGTTCCCTTCGTCTTCTTGGAGAGAGCAAGAACAAAGATTTGAGCAATATAAGGCGAGTTTATTTATGTTGTTTAGTTCTCATCAGCTGTTTACAACCTGTAACATTTAAAATCATAGTTACAAATTGGATTTAAATAACTCACATGAAAGAGTTTAGTTGGAAGTTGCTATGGTCATACGTCAGAATCAGGTATAATAACGGTGTAAATTTTTCCAATATACTGAATAACGGGTAAATTAACACTATTCAGAGGGACATTCTGCAACAGAGATAACAAAAATCTAAGGGGATAGAAATAAGTGGTTAAGTAATGTTTACCGCTGTTAAATAAGAATAAAGTGAGTAAAGCTCATTTAGTTAAGATTACTAATCTAAAATACAGTCAAAATCAGAAGTAGTGATGTAATCGGTCAATAGAAAAAGTTAAACAAAATTAAATGATGTAAAGTGGGAGAACTTGTCACCGAGGTAAAGAAAGATTAACAACCATCTATACATTCGGTCAAATTATGACAGTTATTTTTATGGGTTATCTCGAAAATACGATGCCTAAACAAGCGATTAATGAAATGATGGAATACTCCAGATATGTTGGTGACACACATTTGTTGTTTGCAATGGTAAACAGCATGCAATTGGCCTTTTAAAACTTCAACAATAACCATCCCAACATACAAATTACTATGTAACGAGCAAAATGATTTTTTTCCACTTTCTTGACATTGCCTTACAACGGAAGACGGATGGGGGGGAGTTCAGTCTATCGAGAAAGGACTTGGAATGATCTTTAGCTGAATTTCAACAATTTTTGTCCAATCAGTTACAAGAAAGCGTTGATGAAAACACTTTATAGAGTAGAAAGGATATGTACCTCTGGCAAACTGGTATAATTAATGAACTTTCAAAAATGCCCAAGAGACAACTGCTACCCTCAGTATTTTATTTTAAAAATCTACAGAAAACATGTAGGGTATGACTATAGTCAACAACCGTACCTGTAAATTTACGTGTGTCTGCCAAGGCAGCTAAATCGGTTGAACAAAAAGAATGGCATACCTTGGATTTTTTGAACATGTTCCTAAAAGTTTTCAGACAAAAGTAAGCTCTAGCTTAATTAGTACAATCACCAAACATCTCTTGGATACAGGACATCAAGTTGATACCATGCAGTCTGTCAAGGTGATTAGTAGACGACACAAGGGAATAATTTTGTTCTCAATTAGATCTTCATTCTAATATACCTGAATAGTTATATGAAAATGTTAAGCTAATCAAGGCATTTTATTAGTCAATAATCAAAATGAAATCGATTACGTAACTGCACACAACAGGTGAAGTACAAGTTGATCGTAGGAAGATAGGTGTGCTGTTTGTTGTATGAATCATAAAATTCAATTTGTGAATAGTCCGATATTAGAAGTATTAGGTCAAACTTGGATAAATAGACTTAATTACAAAGCTCTACTAGAATTACGTAATTAGAAGTGTACAGAGTAATTAGATGGTGAGGAATATGAACCAAGAAAAAAGTGACAAACAAATACGAAATGTTTGTAATCGGGTTTCGTTTTGTGAACTGAATGTTTTGATTGTGGAGCTTACATAACATAGTTCTTCTGAACAACATAAGCACAAACTTCAGATGGAAGTACAAAATGTGAAAATAATATTAATCATAGTAAATATAACCGTTTATTAATCTATATCAGGTCGGGGGAGGGACAGGGGTGTCACCAGTTTCTTCTGAACTCATTAATTAGGGTTGATATTCGGATTCCTATGGCTTCTGTTATATGTAGTAGATGGTATCGAACTCCGCTGGGAAATGATGGAGCTATATGATAGATCAATCGAAACGATTCAGTTTTATATGTATTATGACTGCTATCAATCATGTGTGCCAAGGTAGAACTGCGTATTGTTTTTATCTGGCCTTTTCCAAACCACGCTGAGAGTTTCTATTCATTCGTTGGTTCAGTAGCCTGGTAGTACGAATAATATAGCTATCTCCACAGAAGCATTTGAATTTATAAATGCACATTGAGGAGGCACATGTTCCAGCAGTTGATGACTCAGTGTGAAAACCTGTATTCTATGGATATTTCGTTAGTCTTTGGCTTTAAGTTGTTTTGATCTAGTGGGAAGAAAAAGAGGATATATAAGTTCCAAAATCATTTCTTAGTATTTTATACATCAAAATAAGATTGCCTATTAATGTACGGTAGGAAAGTGTGAAGATTTCCAACTTTTTTAATCGCTCTGTGTATCATAAACCCGGAAGTTCTGAAACTGCGTAGGCACCTTCCCTCCATATTTCTTCTACGATATCCGAAATAACTTTAAGCAGAGGTTTGCAGCCTGAATGCGGTTTTCGAGCTTGGATCTCAATTAGGTCAGGGGTAACCAAATCACTGGACACCGTCACTCTGAGTCTTTGGTCAGTGGTCTGTGTCATTTAGGCAATGATAAGCTTCCTGACTGAAGCCTTCAATCCGAGGTTGAAGGTATCATGTAGTATAACACAAAATTAACTGATTAAGACAGTTAGTCCCTTTTGTAAAGTTTGACGGAACAATGAGAACACGTAGTTGATCCAAAAAGTGTGATATATTTAGGCTAAAAGCTTCGAACTTATATATATATATATATATATATATATATATATATATATATATATATATATATATATATATATATATATATATATATATATATATAATCGTCTCTTTTTGGACATAAATCAGGTTTAGGATTTTTTGATGCTACTGCTTCGACAACCTAATGAGATGCCTTGGATTGCGCTTTTTTCATACCTAGTAAAGCAATAGGTCGTAATCTTTTTACATGCAGGCCTAAATAGGCTGTGCGATCAACAGCCATAATTATTGTGTCAAGACAAAAGAAAAGAGGTAACTTGTTGAAATATTCTGATTTAAGGAAAACAGAGAGCCCATCCTTCCTGCTGACTGTTTTTGGTCTCTTAATCTTACCAGATATTCACTTCTCCACTGCAAGTTGCTACAGCTTATTTGTGTGGTCGTGTCGTGAATATATGAAATAAGCTATGTTGATTTTAACACATTTTTCTTAGGATCCCGTAAGAGTTATCACTTTGCTCTAGTGTGTATTGATAAAATACGATTTTCAGATGATGAACGTTTCTTGAACATGAATTAGATTTTTCAATAAATCCCATGTTTCATCAATTTAAAGATTGTTGTAAAACAAATTTACCACTAATGGATTTTGCTTGTTGCCTGAATTAGTAACGTCCACCAATTAACTGAATAAATAAATCCTCTAATACGGGACTGCATGTGGATGATCTACTGCTATATCAGTTTTAAGGATGAAAACATTTGGCATTACGGACGATAGACGGATTTCGTATGTTGTTGTTGAAATGACTTCATCGTGCCTTTTGAAGGAGGAGGAACTGAATGGACCTAATAATTAGAAATCATCATGGCCTTGACCATGGAAACTTATTATCACTTGACATAAAACAGGCTGCAGCTTGTCTGAATGATACTACAACTGATGGTTCCACTCCAGCTTTATGGATGATTAGTTTATATTTGGTGCTCATAAAATGTCTCATACTGGTTTCAAACTACAGGAACAAAAACTCCAATTTTTCGTTTGCATGTATTCACAGTCATGCATACATTTTCCAGTAAATTAGTCGTTGAGCAGATCCACATAATATGGATATGACTAAACAGATATCAGTGCCTAAACTGAGGTCATTTCTTGGCAAGATAAGGTTTTTTTTACCTACTATTCATAAATTACTCCATTCGTTGAGATGACTTTCGATCGCTAGTTGAAAATGAAATTAGTCCAAACAATGCCAAACTCCCTTAGATCAAATAGAATAACTGCTGTCCCCAGATTTTCTATAGACGTATTTTGTTCCGAAGCTTGACAATTGTGATCGCTGATACCTCAAATTATTGGTGCTGTTACCAGTCGCCGTTTTCCCGATGATAAAGAAAGCCAAATATCATTCAGGATATCAAGACCACTCACCGTTCACAATCAAACGGTCATGTTGAAGCATTCAAAGGATCACTTATCAAAACGTAAGTTGGATAAAACCCAGAACGAGTCGTCAATGAAAAATGTATCTATTGGTTTCTTATTTATACTACTTACAATTTTATCAGTAGCTACGAATGGGTAGTGTTTATTTCAATTACGAATTCTCTAGTGGTTCTTTGGGTTATATTGGTTTGCTAAAAAAAGTATGACATACTCTTTCAAAATGAATCTCTCTGTAATCTAAATAGTCATGGGTATACAACACGTAAACGGTTACAAAATTATTATCCCATCAATGGATTATACACTGTCTTGTATTTGAGTCATATCGAAGTTCTCCTTCATCCCACTGACATTTTGGTTTATGGCAACCATACAAGAAATATATTGAATATTATCATTAATTATTATACATTACTTCAGTCGACTTATGGCGGATTTTATTGTGATAACTACACATAAATTTTCACTTGGTTTATGAAGTAGTTTTGTAAATACAAGGAAAAACCCACTTAATATACTTTTAAAATTACAAATGATTTCATTGATTTAATCCAGTAAGTCATTGATAAGTTCAAATTTGAAATGAAACAATATCTCGTTTCATTCTAGTGCAATGATTTTGCTCATAACGTTTACCGCTTACTTTCGATCAATGTAGGTTATTGATTATTATTTGAAAGTATTTGTTATTGATTGTAAGTAAAAGATATTAACTCCACAAAAGTAAATTGCCTAAGCCATCTAGTGTATGAAAAATGTGATTAACTTTGATGGGATTTCAAACACTACTAATAGGGTTTGTTCAAAAGAACAAATAAAAAATAATACTGATTATTGGCTTAACTGCAAATCATCCTCAATCGATTGTTAGAATTTATTCAGACGTTTATTTTAATAAAGTTTAAAAAAAATAAACAAACAAATAACTGCTTTTAAACATTCAATTTAATGTTAGTTTTTAGTATCTTAAAAGTGATTTAATGAAGCCACCAGCATTCGCTTTCATAACATTGACTGAACAAACTTCAAAAATTCTTCATAATCCAACATCCGGTCACCGTTTTTATCATTCTCATTGATCCACTTGGTACAAAGTTCCATGGAAACGACATTTTTCTGTTGTTTCAAGAAATCCCGTAACTCGTAGGCATCGATTTTACCAGATTTATTTTTATCAGCACTTCTAAATGCTGAACGCATTTCTGCATCACTGTAATAATAACAAATAGAAAACTTCAATAAAAGAAAACCAATATATTCGAAGCGTTCATAACTGAGATCTGTTGATACAGAGACACAACTTGTATATAGGTGTACTTTTTGAAAACTGAAGCACTTCCTCAATCAGAACAAACCTTTCTAACCGTAAATGCTAATCTTTGTAATTCACTCAAGTTCTACAAAATTTAATTTGCAATAAATCTAACACCATTGCGCATGGAATTTTTATATTCTCACATTGCGCGAATGCGACTGAAGTTAAAAATCACCTTCTGATTAAGGTATGAAGATGCTCTCCATTTATAAAATCCCAGTGAGTAGAAAATTAAATTTCCGACATTTAATGACTTAGTATTATGAGCCACTTCTTCAGAGCCAGCTAAGTCAACAGAAGTTTAATATGTTCAAAGAAAAGAAAACAGAATATTTTTAGTGCAATGAACCACGTCACGTTTTTACGGATTACCGTAAAAGATTTCACAAACTCTCTATTTAAATACGTAAGTAGTATATTAAAAGCATTTCAGAACAGACTACGCGAAAACATTAAAGATTCTTATGATTTCAGGTCAAAATATTCGAACCTAATTATTAAAGAAAATAAAGCAATAATAAGCTGGCGTGTATCTCTATAAAAAAATGATATTTCTGTTAATGGATGCCTAGATTTCGCTAACGGTTTACTAGAGAATGATAATACTCTATCTAGTACATACGCATCAGGCATTAGGCCAATAAATTAGCAGTTTCCTCAGAAACACAGATGACATGGTCGTCATTACAAAAAATGCCTTCTCAGGAACTCTTCTAAACTGTTAACTGCCTACTCAGATCACACAAAAAACTTACTTTCGAAAATGAAAATGAGCTAAGTGAACTATCATTTTAAGACTTTGGTTAAAAGGAATTCAGACGAACGTCTACTAAATCTGAACATTTAACACAAACCAAGACACTTGAAGCAAACCGCTAAATTAATTCGAAATCATCAAGTCAGACTGTGATAATGACACCTACAGTTAGTTAATTGTGTTTTTTTACACCTAGTTTCAGATTCAGAACCCTCTACATCTCCCCAACTTACTTGTATTCGCTATCTGAAATCGATTGTTACAGTTTTGCTAAAGTTACAATCCAATTAACGAAAGTACTCTTATGCTGACAGATAGCGAAATATTGCTTAATAAAACATTTTATGATAATTATTGACGAGATTGAAATTAAATGAAATTTTAACCACTAGAATATCTGATCAACTAAATCAGTAGACTCCCAACACTGCTTGTTTAAATGTTTCAATCATTTTTAACCTAGTCCTAATCATTTATAAAACGATGCGAACAGTAAATCAAGTAAAACTACTTTTCCATCCAATTTTTACATGTCATATCTGTCGTGCGTTTTTAGCCAACCATCAATCCAATATTTTAATGAACTGCAAAAATCTTTCTTCATTAATACACATGATTTATACTTTAATGATGTTGAGTTAATAAATATTGGTGACTAATAGGTTGTTGTCACTGAATAAGTTAGATGCTAACAAAATGTCCGACAAACTATTGAAGTTGAGAGTTTTTAAAAACAAAAGTCTCTATAAAAATATAAACAACAAAAAGGAACCATTCTATTAGCATTGCCTGAAAACTAATTGTACAGTTTTCTTTTGAATAGATTGCATTAAATTATAAAAATAGATTGACGTACCACAAGACTAGCGAATTGTATGAAGCAACTATACATACAACAACTGTAAATGCTAATAAATTTGGCATTACATAGAGTTTGATTGTTACATTGTATGTTATTCCAAACACCAGGAGATTACTCTCCGAAATAATGACAATCAACTTATGGCGTTTATTCCTATGAAATAGATCCATAGTACCATTCCAATTGCTAAATATTACATAAAAGAAAGGGAAATTTGCCAACCATCTATTTCATAACAAAAAGAATACACTCCGTACGTTTGATCTGGATTATATGGTAGAATATTTTTTGAATTCTAAAAGTTACTATTACAGATTAAATCGTTCGGTTTTTTCAACGGCCACTTTGGATTACATAATAAGAAAAATATATTTACCATAAAGGTACATAGGAGAATGACAAGTATCATAACTCACGTTATCTTCCCAATTTGAATTTGTTTAACAGCTCCGAGGAATTCTTTTTTTGTTATTTTGTCATCATTGTTGATATCAAAGTTTAACATGAACTCCTGAAAATGAATATGAGATATTGATCTAATTAGTTAGAGGAAATTTAGTTTATTGGATAATTTAAATAACATTGTATGAATGGTGGGAAAAAAATTCAAGACTCTCTAAAATACGATGAGAGGGTTTTCTGCTACTTATGGTTTACAGATTGTTCTCCATCTAGTGCTGGGTAGTGATGAATTCAGTCTTACCAATGAATAGTCAGTGTACAATACTGCAGATAGTGTCTGATTACGAACTGTTAATGTACATGGTATTGTGAACATACTTAAACACAAAATCTGAATGCTTTTACCAGTGAATACCATGCTTTAGATCCTTCTAAAATGATAAGATGCTACGATATTAATTTTATTGAGACGTTCATTTTTAAAAATTTTATCAGTTTTAATAAGATTTTTCTCTGACTGTTGTCGGTTGAACGCCTGACAAGGTGTCTGAGGAAGGTCTTCAACTTTCTAAAACACCATATTATGGTTAAGTAGTCATTGTGAAGTAGTCATTATCTTCTAAAGAATAAACTAAAATTCATTTGTATTGGATTTTTGAACTTTTCTGTTGTTGTTTAGAACTGCAACTGATCAATCACATTGGGATTTTGTGCATCCTGTGAGGACTGTATCAATATAACCATTAAGTCACAAGCATTATAAACAAAAGTTGTATGATTGTGAATTCCACTGCTAGCCAACATCAATGAGATTCAAATAGTCAATAAAAATGAATCAAAATGTTTAGTCGCAATCAATTCAAACCGCCTTGGAGTATTTCTGCTTTCGATACGAATATCCATTCCTTAAAATAATTTTCTGGTAAAATACACTCGCCATTCGATTGCTTAGAGTTTTTTGCAGGAATAGTTATGTAAAAAAATTGAAATACGAGTTCATCACAGAACGATCACCGGAACAAGTTATACATTGATCTTCATTGGAAAGCCTGTTGCCAGAATCGATCAAAGCGACAGAAACCAAATGATTGATTGAGTTTGTTTCAAACAATTACCACTATGTTCTGATTAACAATGCTGATGTGGTTAAATTTGAAGGTGAAGCATTGGAAAACCAGTGAGAAATTTAACACGATGAAAAAGTATAACTGAAGCAAGCAGAACAAGATTTGCCGTAAAATAAAAGACTGTTTAACAAAGGATATTCTGTTATACAAATTGGTCCTTATCATTAATTTCGTTTGAAGAAAACTTTCTGTGATTACAGTCTCTTGTATCATTGAAATTCGGAAGTCAACATTTCAATGGAATTTGTTCAAGATTTAACTGTTACCACTAAACAAAATTAGTTGATATTCCATCAATAGACGGGATCATATTTTGTATATTCTTTAAATGGATAAATCAAGATAAATCAGGGAAATTTTATTTTTTTTTTGTGAAATATATCTGCTGATGTAAACAAACCAACCAGTAGGTCTGTCAGTTTAACACTTTAACAAGAAAAAATATTTTATTCAGAATTGGTACAGAAGTGTGAACCAACATATTTAACGGTTGACTGTCAGTTAGACAACTATTATTACTAATCATTACATCTGTTTGACGTAAACACAAGCAACTTTTTCCATTTTAAAATTTATAGTTTGTCAGATTGAAAACAATTTATCCCTTCGACAAATTCAAACATTTTTAACGGCTTAACATTCCTGTCCAATAAATCATGAAAATTACTAACAGTTATTTGTCCGGTAAGATTTTCAACAATTTAATGTAATTTGTTAGGTTCTACGCTGTCATTCATATGTTGGCTAGTAAAAGATGAGTGCACATCGGGCTGGATATCAGTATCAATCAATAGTACAACATATAAAATTTAATCAGTAGTTTCGAATTGTTGATATAAATTAGTGAATTTAAATTCTGTTCGTATTGAATCACTGTCTAACACTTACAAACTTTGTTGAAAAGAAGCTGTATATATGAAAAAGATATCGAAATATATGTATAACTAAACAAAAGTTTCTTCTGTAAAGTCTTAATCGATTAGCATCAGTTGTTACCTAATTTGAATGGTAATGAATGTCATTCTTATAGTGACGACAAGTGCAAAAAATGATTTTGTTACAATGGTTCCAGAAAAACTGACCCTTCCTAATTTGAAAAAGATGCAGATGTACACTATTTTACGTTTTGAGGTAATAATTCATTTTAGTAAATCTATCACTGAACTATTTTACCGAACAACTGACCCAAAATAAAAAGCTAGTTATTCATGGTCGGAAAGCATATTACGGAATCAAATTCTCGTTAAGAACATCAGTATTCAATTCCCAACTTTTATTCTAATGGATAATAAGTCATTTATTATGGTCACAAGATTCGTCTGAGTTCCATGCCGAAGGTTTCTCACCACCAGCTCATTTTTAATCAACATGTAATTTCACTTCACTTTCCACATTCACATGTAACAATTAACAAATCCGACAGATGAAACAGTGTGATCATTTGTCTAGCACAAAAATAAAGTAACATCAAACTCACCTCTGTATAATGTGGATCGAATCCAAACGAGATTAGACAGTTCTGAACTTCTTTTTTACTTAACCAGCCATTTTTATTTCTGTCAAGTAAGTCAAAATCTCTCTCGAGTATGGATAAATATTTTTTCTTCTGTAAATAGAAATAGATTGCACAAGCACGTTAATTAAACATCAATCAAGAGTTCTAAATATGATGTAGATTTAGTTCGAACGCTAATCTTTTTTGATCAAGAATAAATTTCTTCTAAGCAAACAGGCCACTCATTTGTTGTTGTATCTATTGCTCAGCAGAATGCGGCTCAATTACATAAGAAGGAATTTAAGTGAAAATCAATACTAAAGCTCCATAGTTAATTCACTCGTAGATCTAAAGTGCAACGTTAGATATATCAGTACAAAAAGAAAAAATGGTGGTCCTTATAATACAAAAACGGAAAATTATCAGAACAATTAGTGACAATGTTCTGTTTATGATATGTACTCTTAACATGTATGATTAATTTTGCTAAAGTGAAGAAAGAATACAGAGACTAATAGCACCCATAGAGAAAACATACAACGCTGCTAAACTGATTATCATTGAAAAGACCAAGCACATGATTTCACATATACCTAAACGTTGCTCGAATGATTACATCACATCCCATTGCATTTATCAATTTACATGTTTGTGTGGATACACATACATAGGGAGGAGTAATCGGACTTCGCAATCAAGGGTTACGGAACATGTACCTAAGTGGCTTCAAAATTAGTTAACGTCAGATGAGCCATGTTCATCGATCGCAAAACAAATAATTGAGACAGCGCATAAGATTGACATCAAGACAGCCTTCAAAACATTGTACAGAAATGTTGAAGGACGAATTTTGAGGTTTATGGAGGCCTTAGCTATTAGAAAGTTAAAACCACACCTTGTGTGCAGAAACAGTTTGTCATAACTTTGAATTTACCTTGGTAATCTTTAAGCCCACGGTAATGTGACAATTTTCCTACCTTTTCTTATTCTTTTCATATTACGTTAATTTTCTCTCTCCTTTATTTACAATTATCACCTTGTCTATTTGAACTTTCATTTAATTGACCTTCTATTCATCTTCATATAAAATGCCTTGACAAGTAAATATGTGTGACCAGATTGTTCGAAATTTATAGCGCAAATACTTCACATTTTTCCGGATCAATTACGTCTTCTCACTGTTCTATCAAAATTTATAAAAGGGACTAATTGTTTAAAAAAATGGTTTTGTTGGAAAATTAACAGTTCCAATCTTAAACAATCAGATGTTTAGCCTAACCAATCGAGTAAGAAAATATCACTGACCCTTTTATCCACAACTAACTAGACTTCTAGGATGACCTAAAATTAATTTTTTTGACAAATTAAAAACTAAAGAATTGTATAATTTCTTAAAAATGATCAAAGAAAGCATTTCATTATGGTTTTCAGATCAGAATGCACTTTATTAATAATATCGTTTAAAATCTGTCGAAATGACACAAAACCACTTTATATAATCACTATGTTTTATGAAGTAAGATGCCGTTTCAAGCAAAAAATCACTCAAGAAATAATCTCAAATTTCACTATTATTCTATCAAACTAGTACTACTGAGGTTTCCATTGATAAGCTGAGCAGGGGAGGGGAAACTATTCTCTCTGACTGATAATGGTACAAAAATTTAACTGTATTTATGACAGAACCTTCTTTACATTATTAGCATTACAAATCGTATTTTCTGCAAACTTTCCTCTGTGACTTACAACAAAAAAGAAGTATACTGTATATGAAGAATTATTTTCATACTGAAAATTCGTCGACTAGATTGAGAAACTATGACATTTATGGATTTTTATTGACATTGATTAACAGTCAGCTTTTCGATAAACTTTAACTGATTGGAACTCGCAAACGACTGATCAAAAGCTCATTGTGTGAACACTGTTCATCAAGTTAAAACATCACAACCAACAAACATAGTTGGTTCATCTCTCCTAGCTAACCCGATCAATTTTTTAAATTGAATTCTTAAGGTTATACAAAACTGTTTCTGTACACGTAAGGGAGTTCTGAATTTCTTCTCTATGGTCTATCAAAATTTTTAAAAGCGACTAATCGTTACAAATCTTTTTTACTTGGATTAGCATTAAGTGAGCAATGTTCTTAAAATATATTAAAATGTAACTTACTGAGTTCATAGCTCGATGAATTAACTGTTTTCTTATTCAGAAATTTAAATTTTCAGCTCTGTTAATTCCAAACATATTAGTCACGGTTTCCACGCCTCAGTTTCTCAAGGTTGTATATTTGACTATCTAATCGTAATAACTATCATCCCTCTGGTCAAAAGTTTCCTTCTCACAGCTATTCGCTTAATCATTCCATTGGTTTTAAGTGAACAATTAGTAAATAATCAAATCTATATATTATAATATTAGTAAATTCAAAATATTCATCTGACAAATAACTAGTTAAACAAATAATCTACAGAACTTGGTCATATGATTTGATGACACGCATAACTTGGATGCACATTAACGCTCTGTATCTTTTTTCGATCAATAATTACTGAAATATGGTTGCCTTCTCATCATTAAAGCTAATGTCTTAGTCTTAGAGAAAAACATTATAACTGTATTTCTGTTTTCGTGTGTACTTTGTCTTAGTTATTATTATAGTCTTGAGGCTAAACAAACATTCATACAAGATGCAGCAGTATTTTTATGTTATCTTTTTGAAACAGGGCTAAAACAAAGTAATCACTATGCAGTTTATTTCACAGAATAGAAAAGAAAACTTTTCAACCAGTATTCCTCAATCTACTCTGCCCTGGGTTTCCCTTTCCAGTCCAGTATAATTTTTGTTCATTATTCTCATGTCTGTCTCGAATTCTCGGTGTAATGTATTCTTTGTCCTTCCTCTTTTCCTTTGACCTTGGGGAATCCAAGTGAAGGCTTGTTTTATGATGCAGTTGGGTGCTTTCCGCAATGTGTGTCCCTGTCCACTTCAAGCGCCTCTTTCTGGCTTCCTCCTCCACTGGAATCTGCTTTGTTCTCTCCCATAGTAGGTTCTTGCTGATACTGTCCGACCAACGAATCCGAAGTATTTTGCGCAGACAACCGTTAATAAACATTTGTTTCACTGATTCCAAGCACCTCCACGTTGTACCTTTTCATCTCTTCAGCAACTTGGAATAGTCTTCCAGTCTCCCATAATGTACGAACGTTCCATGTACCTAAAAGAATGGTTGCTCTGGTTGTCAGAAGAGGCATCAGCCTGGTGACTTTCAAGGGAACTGGGCTTTCTTCGCGCGACGTCATAATTCTTTTTCCAACTCCCAGGGCAGAGTTTAAATGGTTTGAATTATTTGTTATGGTTAGCGTTTTTTGGCAAATTAGTTTATAGTTGGGATGGGGTCGCCAACCCCATGCCTAACCCTCCTCCTTTGTCCGGGCTTGAGATCGGAAGTAGCCCCAGAGGGGCTTCAGGCACAGTTCGAAATTTACGCCATCATATATATATATATATGCATATATATATATATTTATATAAGTTAATTAAAGAAGCACTATAGATGGTTTACAAATATGAAAATTTTGAAGAATTAATTTCCCAAACAGTTTTTCGGGTGTTTTACTTAATATTTATAATTTATACCATGTGATGTAATTAATTCTAGAAATGCTAAGGAAAGGTACTAAACAGTAAGTACTAAACGAAATATATGGTGACATTTAACTTGTAATATTTATTGAACGATAGGATGAGTAGCAATTTATGTAAATGAGCAAGATAAAAAAAAGTGAAAAACGTAATATGTTAGTTAAAGGTTCTTTTTCAAGATTGTCTTGATTTGTAGGTTGTATTCATCACAGTTTAGTCCCAGTTAGAGTATCACTGAAAACTGTCGAGCGCGGGCTTCGATGACAAAAAATCTATAAATATTCTATTTGCTAACCCATGATGACTGATAGTAATTCTATGCTCCAGTTCATTTACATGCTTTGCTGTCAGTGAATATGATTTTCTATCTACCACGTTTATTTGAGCTACCTAAGCTATCTATGCACATGTTTCATAACCCTTGACTGCTTAGTTGAATTACTTTACCTTATGTATGTATTCAAACTAACATTTCAATCGGTGTGTGACGTGATCGTTTGTGAAATATCCACGTATATGTGGAATCATTGGCTTTGCCTTCTAAATCACAACCACTTTTGCTGCGTAATATGTTTTCTCGATAGTTGCTGTCTCAAAGCTATACTCTTTAACCATCTTCTAGCTAGTACATATGTATTAACCTTTTATTACAGGAGAATTAAATAAAGGTTATCGTGTTAACTAACCTTTACACCTATTCATACACTTTAGCAGGCGATTGTCTGATATCACTATTCCAGTCAATAAGTTCACGTCTTCTTCGAACGTATCTGTAGTGCATATTCTTTGAGTCTTGCACTGCAAAAATTTTAATTTAGGAATATTAGCTATTTTTGTCTAGTTTTTAACTTTCGTGTGTTTTTGTTATTGTTAAGAGAGCAGTGAGGAAAAATGTAGGAGTACATTTTACGCGAATCAGCTGGCAGTGAAAAAGGCAAAAAATATATATTCAAAAATCCATAAAGTGATTATTCAGTAGACATAGGTTACACTTGGTGCTGAACCGTTAAAGTAAATGACAACAGACAAGAGGTAAAGCAACTGTTGATCGCTTTTCAAAAAATGGGACAGACAAAATCTGAACAGAATTCGAATGTCTTTCGATTGGTTATTTGATTATACACAGAAGTACATTAAAAGACTTTTGAAAACAATTTATGTTGGGAAAAATATTTCGGTTAGTCAATGAAGTTCTCAATCATTTCTAATATGTCATAGTATTTTTGTTCTTTGACTGATTTTTCAGTTCACTAGTACGTTATGGCTTGGCATTATACGGAAAGTTTACATTGTTACAGATTGATAGGTGAACTTTAATCAATACAGACTGTGGAACTCATCCTATCTTCAGCAATATTAAGCAAGTTTTTATGATTACAGTTCAATAAAGTCTAATGGTGTTACTTCCAACCCAATATCGTCATGCATCACATTTAACCTTGTTTTACTATAGCCTAGTACTCAGTTACAACTTCAGTTTCAACAGACACATTCTCTACAGTTGAAAATCAGTTGTAATAAACCACAGTATTTCAGGATATTTATATCGCCTGGTAAGTATAAAGGAATTATTTCCTTTAGATGGCTAATCCACCAGCATACACCAGTCAAATAAAACCAATAACTAGCATTCTGTTAAACAGAGAAATAGTTTTATAAAATTAAGGCCTTCTGTTCAGATCACTTGTGGTCCAACTTGCCTGCTCAAACGATCAGAATCGAATATCCAAAACTAAGAAGATCCGACACACAAGTATCTCAGAATTAAACCGAAAAAATTTCATTCTTTCCGCTATCTGTTTAGCAAGATCATTTTTACAAACATTGAACTGGAACTTTAGAGATATGTAACTTGAAACTTTAGAGAAATTATTGTAAAGAGCTAAAAGTAATGCTTAATATTTTCAGTTTAGAAACCTCTTCACTTCTCTGTGGGACTCGTCGGCCGGATGTACGTGCATCCCAGAGTTAATGTTAACTTTGGAACTCGAACTAAGCACCATGAAGTTTAATTCATTTGTATTAGTTGCTGGATTGCCCGACTGATGCTTAAGAAAAAAATTGATAAACGCATGAGTCATAAATACAATGAAAGGTCAGTCCTGGATTGTACTTTCAGGCAGCCAATCCGCTCATAAAACATATATGCCATTCAAGACTGAAAGTCTTAGACATAACAAACAACTAGTACTAATGAATAAGGCATATAATTGTTTGAATTTCACATTCCACTATCAGAGAAGTGAAAAAGAAATGAATAATAGGTTTTTTAAAAATTTAGAATTAACGTTAGAAAGCTACAATATATATAACAGAAGTTTATGCGTCACGAAAATGCATACAAGCAGGAGAGTACAAATATACAATTATTTAACTAACAATAGTTGTACTACTCAAATATAAACAATAGCGCATATACAACATCATCGTTTTAGGATCAAATTCATCTTCCCATCGTTTTATCAAAATTTATAAAAGGCATCGATTACATTAAATAAGCAATGGCTTTATGTTGGACAGATCCAAAAGTACAACTTTGTTTCGTATTTATTAAATCATATTAAAATACAGTCATACATAAATGTTTTTTCAAACTTTTCAATATATGTTAATAAATATAGTATGATGGTAGGTTGTTTTCTAATATGAAATTTAGGGTCCATAATTAAGTTAACTAGATCACTCATGATTTATTTACTTGGATTTGTCAAATTACTAGAATGTCTTGATTTCATCATGTGAATACATTGTTGTTTGTTTTATAACTTATTTACATAAATCAGTGATCACTCAGATAAAAATTATTCTGAACTTTAAACCAGGTGATTTACGCTATCAACTCGTGATAACAAATGTTTTCGACCTAACGAAATCTGCTCGAATCACCCATTTACTTATCATGCGTAGTTGTGCTGGAATATAAACGCATTATCAATAGACACACTATTCATTTGAACTACAATTTGGACGTTCATTTCATCGCCTTCATAAATGATCATCGTCAGTAGTCTTCAGTAATAAAGTTACATCCTAATTTTCTATTCCAATGGAAACTATTTCTTGTTCGTATGTACTGAGGATTTTTATTCGATCATTTAAGTATAGCTTGTATTTCTCATTGTTGCAAACCTAACAATCACTCGGTTTTCGTTTCAAAATTCTACCTTAAGTTACCTGGACACTTCTGTTTTAGTATTTGTTCGGAAAACTTATACACGTAAAAATACTTCTTCATACATAAACTGAACCGGATTTCACAGTTTACATAATCCTAGAAAGCATATGAGTGAATGTACACCTTGCACTACTGAGATTCGATTTTACATTAACGGTTTATTTGAAGTTAATAGAAATAAAAACAATCAAAGGTTACTTTCCTATGTGGTATATGAAAGCATAGATTATTAAAGAATATCAATTGATGCCATGTTATCTAACATTGAGTCCTTTCTGACCTATATAGGTTTAGTTGTAACGTGAACAACAGAATTGGTTCTACACCAGATCAGCCACTATAGCTCAGCAAAACTGTTTACGACCGTGACATCAATTAGAAACCATAGTAGACAATTACTTCGCTAACCAGTGAGAAGTAATCTCACTGAAGAGCACCAAGTAACGCAAGCAAATAAACCCAACCACTAGCCATTGTAGAGGAAATGCATCCAGGTATAAGTCATCTATATACTATAAAAATTTTATCGTTGGATCTACAATAACTGAAATGTTACGACCAAAAATTCCTACATGTTCGATGGTTATAGCGAACTGACTAGATTAACCACTCAATGCTATGCTTTTCAGTATAAGCTCTTCTATGAAACACTGTGCATTCATTCTTTTTCGATACTTTTCAATGCACATAACCAAAGACGTGGTTACGATAGTTAAAAGTTAAATCTTGATCTATTTAGTCTAAAATGACTATTGGAAAATGTTTAATCACGAATTTTTAATTGATTCCATATCAAGAGGGAACTTTCTGAAGACCCCTATTTCTCCAGATAAAAAAATAGTTACTAAATGAATGCCATCCTTGAACTGTTCGTCCTAAAAAAAAAATCAAATTCAACAGTTCAGTCGTTAGGCAGATTGTGCTATTCATGCCTACTCATACATTGCATAACCACTGTGTTGCATATCAGGTGTTTTGTCTTATTATGATTTCGTTTTTAGCCTACTTTATTCAGATTTATTCCAAAACTGATAAATTTTGTTTAACTTGACGGAAATTCTGATTGCATCTAGATTATTTTAACACATCCAACTACTTAGAACGGTTGATTTGAAATAAAACTGATTTTTTTTCTGTGTATTCTAAAGCTTTCACATACCCACTGACCTACATAAATAAGCAAAGTATTTTAAGAAACGTAATTCGGCGTACAACATGAAGAAAATGACTCAGCTGATAGGCAAAAAGTAACGATAATTACTTTCCATATTTTCATACAAGCTTAATTTATAGATGAGAGGAATAAGTAAGGGAAAAAGAGCTTGCGACGCAATCGAATACAAGAAACAATTGCAAACTATTATCGTTACGATAGACAGTAATGACAGTGATTGTAATTACCAAGAGAACAATGATAATCATAATAATAATAATAGTTGAAGAGTTTATTCTAAACGCTATCATTTGGACGGTTAAGTTGATAAGGGATCGAGCATTTTATTGAATAGAGTCAAAATAGTGTGACTATTTATCATGACCATAGATTATATTTAGGAATTTGACCAAAAGGAACAATGGAAGTTTATTTTGTCTCTGACACTGAACGCATTACAATCATGTCTAATTAGCATGCTTGGAGAAACACAACTATCCAGCTCAGATTACTTTCTGATCTTCACATGTTATTGATGAGATTCGTTGCTTACCTCTAATTATATTGGTGATCGATTTTTGTTCATGTAGTTCTGATGAAGCAGCATTAGTTGTACAAAAAACGATGTTCACCGGTGTTATCGTGTAAATATGAACTTTGGAATAAGACTTCCGTTTATACATAGAACGATGCAGCAATCACTCCACTGAAAATTTGTGATTTGTTTTCAAAATTCATTCCACTTTCTACAGAGTAGTTGATTTTTCCAGCCCACCGACATCTTTTGTATTTAAAGTAATCATTTAAAAACCAGAACTAGTCTTCATGACGGAAACCAATCATTCAACTATATTTCATATTTGAGTTGTTGAACAGAAGTGTCTTAGAAACTCTCCTGGATTACTGTTTGTGGCCCAGTAACAAAGAGTATGGTAAGTAAATAATAACTGTACATAATCCAGACACAAGTAATTCTAATGAGTTACTGAACGATGATTTCCAGCCAAGGGGACTGAATGCAAGGTTCATAAGATATTTATCTATTGATATTGAATGCAATAATGTCTTGTATGAAATGTAAACAATATTTAGAAAAATTCAGAGAATATGAAATAACGAACTTCTTTGAAGTTAAATGAAAAAAATTAGTTGGCTTAAACTAACCAAACTATTTGAGGAACGTTAATACATTTAACAATTATGCCATAATCTGTTAAGCGGTTGGAGATTGTTCACAATGACTGAAATTAACTGTTAACTATAGTTATTATCTTTCTAATGGTGCTTTCGTTGAATCTTCCTAAGAACGAATTATGTTATTAAAGTTTGGTGACGCATTCGATTCTATTCAATAGTAACGCCAAAGAATTTTGTGTACAACAACAAAATGTCACTGTTGTCTGTCTATTCCAAAACATAATTATGATAATCAAAGTTATGTTATTTCGCTTTAAATATGTTTACAATGAGTCAGTGTAGTTGATTTCGTAGATTTCATTACTGAATGGTACTAACATTCATGATGAAACTTGTATTTTCCAATCAACAAATTAGCCAAGTTTACTTACAGTGCATTGACAACTACAAGCTAAAAAATGTTAGATGAAACATGAATTCAAGTAAAGCAGTCAAACTGTTGATGTAATTTACAGATTAATAAATATAACACTTCAACATGTTCCAAAAAATTATGCGAATTCTTTTTTCATAGGATTTAGTTTCTTAATCCAAAAACTAAGGGCTAACAGCAACTGCATTACCAGTTGTATTTACTAGGCTGAAGCCTTTCCATCGGTCACTAATGACTACACGGAAAATCCATTTCACACCAAGATTATGATGTCATTTTTGTCAAAATCTTCTCAAAACTCTGATTATGTACACTGTTATTTTTTTACAAACAGCTTCTCATATTTTACCATACTAAGATTTCATACATGTATACGACATACAATAATGATTATCATTAAAGTTTAACGTTTTAAATATGTTTTCTGTAATAAAACGTTTCAAACGTGAACATCTTCACTTCGACTGAGTTTATCGTTTCTCAGCACTTACTTCACAGTCGTAGCGTATGTTCTTCTGATCATAAGAAATGTCACGTATATTTCGCACTGGAAATTTTAGCTAACCAAATGGTCACAGTGTTCAAACACTCCATGTTGTCCAGGTACATCGGTGAGTTTCTGTGTAGATATGAAATGTTTGCAAATAAAAATCCACGATGGATCCATGCATGACTAGAAACTTCATGGAAAATAAGCGTTTTCTTCATGATCAATTAGACAATGATAAGTTGACTTTTTTCCTTACTCTTAAACAAATGTTGTTCATCCATATTGACGTAGACTCACTCACTGGGCACCATAGCGATTGTGCATTTATGAGTTTCTTCTGTTTATAAGTAATTCTTAGGTCACTAGTGATTCAGTAATAACTTATGAAGATCGAAGCATATTAAATAGTTCGTTATGTCATATTGAATTTCTTACACTTCGTGTACTTTCATGTAATCATGTGTTACTTACGTCTCCCACTTAGTGGCTTTTGTATTCGTAAAAATTTTAGTGAATAGAATGAGACATTCAATTTACATTTTGTCGATGTTGTTCTAGGATTTTTGCACCCTATTCGCGACATGAATATTGGAGAATATTAATGTTACTCTGTTCTGTGAGTGTCAAGTTATAAATTTAGCTATCCTTTATTAAATTAAGTCTACTGAGTAGTCTTCTTGATAGCTATAGTATGAATTATAGGTAACAGAATTGTTTGCTGTCAGTTAAATAGAATAGGGCACGAACTTCAATAAAATTTGCGACTTGCGTTCCCCTTTTTTGATTTGAAATTATCATTCGCTCTTAGTTTTCAGTCTTTTTTAAAATACAACAACGAAAATAATTTTCGATGAATGGTAGCAAATACTTTTGTTGGTATAATAATCCGCATAGGTATAAAAACAATATTCCAAAATGCTTGAATAATTAATTCTGCAAAGTATAGTATGAGGTTCGCTACATTTATATACATGGCTGTGCTGGAATATAGTTAGTTGTTGTGGATTATTAGGCTGATGTACAGTTTTCATACGCCGGAGATAGGTAACCATTGTTTCAACGACCAGGGACTTAGGCTGTTTATCTTCACGAAACGAGTTTTATATGGAATGTAGAAAACAGTATGATAATTCAGCCGGAACAAGAAATGAGCACACGCACTTACTACATGGACAGTTACACTGTTCAAGATCGATACGTTGTACAGGCAAATATCAACAAGTAACAAGCGACTGAAAAGGCAACTCTAAACTGGTCAGAAACTACGTACACACGGCAGAACATTCGATACAAAACAATAACTTGCAAATTATTAGTTCGATTCATAGCTACAGTTACACCAAAAACCTGAGCAAACTTAGGTAAGTAGACTTCTAAAAAATGTGCATCAAGATTCTGAATTCCAGACAAACTACGAGAAATATTCATTTCTACTGTTGTACAGTCAAACTTCTTGGCATCTCAGTTCTGGTTCTTTGGGATTTCACCTCGTACTACTTTTGTAGAAAGTTATTCCTGTTCCTATGTGTTTACACCGCAAATAGTGTACTGGACGTGCGCAGATCAGGTTAGAAATATTCTGATTTAGAGTAAAGCTTTGTGAAGCGAACAGCATTTTAAAGCACATACGAGGAAAATGCATTACGAACAAACCACCTAGTACTGATTACCCGTGAAATAGCTAACAATTTTTTCATGACGAAAACAAATTGACAGAAAATACCCGATGTAAAAATGAATTCTGTGTTATATAATTAAAATACTATTTATTTAACAAAGAAACACTACCAAAACTTTAAGAAATTATGAACATAAAACATTGAGAAGTTCATCAACATTCAATTGTCCATCGTTATCCTTGTCGTGTTGTATAATAAACTTCTCAACTTGCTCCCTTTTGAATGGACAGTTAACGCTCTGCAAAAATTCCATGAGCTCTTGTGTGTTAATTTTTCCACTTTTGTCTTTATCAAGATGGTTTAGAAGTTGTGCAGCCTCTGCTCGGCTAAATCATGAACAGAGATTACGTACAGTAAGTGGCAAGTATTATTTGGAGTTAACATTTAAAATTGACAAGAATTTACTCACTTGACCATTATGACTGGTGACGTTAGAGTCGTTAAATTAAAAGGCTAAGAAAGACTCGCCACTTAAATATAAAATCCATATCAGTGAGCTTGCCCATTTGGCCAATAGATTGCAGCGTAGGCGTGCATGAAATATCCATTTGAAAGTCTGATTGTCATCAATGGTCGAACCATAAACATGTTCTCCATTGTACACAATTAGTTGATTTTTTCATATCTGAAACTCGATTGCTGAGTAAGTAAAACTGCCTATGAACTAGATGGGCGGTAGGACACATAAACATGTGTGTCTGTATGCGTTTTCTGTACACCAATAGATTGTTTACAACCACCTGTTTAAGTAATGAAAGGGAGTAAAGATCTTGGCGAATCACTTTCGAGTGTGCTAGCAAATGTACTTACTACATGCAGTTCTAATGAAGTATGATGAACACTGCAATCTTAAATTATTATTCGAAAGGAGTTAAGTCAGTGTCACTTTTCATTTTATGCTCATTTGAAACTTGAAACCTTCGACTTTTAACAAAGTTCGAAATATGCAATTATTTTTTTTCCACTTCGCGTTAATGATAGTTAACTTAACTTAGGATTAGATTCCAGCTGGCCCAACATGCTAATTAGTCACCTAATGAAAAATGTCAGTTTCCAGGTTCTTTTTAAGTTAGGTGTCGCATAAAATTGATGACATCTATATAGGACAAAATGGAAAGGCATTCCAGGACCCTTCTTTTGACCTACCAAATCTGTTTACTTCAAACAAAGTAATTTCTAAATATGTTTGTTCACTTTTTTTAATGTATTTTACTCACGGAAACGAATTATACTATTCTTACTTGTGCTTTTAGGGAGGGTTTTCTCTATCCAAATGGTCTACCATTGATTATTGAATCATTGATATTTCCAATGCAATCAACTGTTCTTTATTTGTGTGTGTGTGTAAACTTCTTGAAAATTAGTGTAAATACCAATTTGAAGGCAACCAGTTTAATCAATCTCAAAAGGTAAATGTCGTTCGAAATAACCTCCATCCATTATGATTTCCAGCCAAGGGGACTGAATGCAAGGTTCATAAGATATTTATCTATTGATATTGAATGCAATAATGTCTTGTATGAAATGTAAACAATATTTAGAAAAATTCAGAGAATATGAAATAACGAACTTCTTTGAAGTTAAATGAAAAAAATTAGTTGGCTTAAACTAACCAAACTATTTGAGGAACGTTAATACATTTAACAATTATGCCATAATCTGTTAAGCGGTTGGAGATTGTTCACAATGACTGAAATTAACTGTTAACTATAGTTATTATCTTTCTAATGGTGCTTTCGTTGAATCTTCCTTAGAACGTATTATGTTATGCATGATAAACTGTGTTAAATAATTTTGATCAAAATAGGCAAACGAATCCAAAGTCTTGTCTGGTTCATTAAGATCACAGAAAATAAATTCTAATCCTTTAGTTCTGAACTTACTTTGATGCTTTAAACGATTTGGGGCTGTATCATTAACAGTTATGAATGATACACATTCTCCCCATTTGAACTTTATCATAATTTGAGAATGGATTTTATTGTGCATCTTCTTTCGATTCGAGCTTAGTACAGCGTTTCAACCGGATGACAGTTGCATGCATTCTAAATTTAGCGGGACTAAAACTTATGACAGTAGTTTATAAAAGCTTTAGGTTGCCAGTTTTACCTCAGGCAACTGAAGGATGATCTTTCCAGCATTCAGTTGGTTTTGATAACTTTGCATAACTTTTAACTATTAGCTGACCATTATTCTGAATGAGTTCATTCTGCTAAAGATACATATGTACGTTGACTAAGTCATAATAGTTCTTTTTAATGTTTAGACAAAAGCCAGAAATGAGAAAATGGAAGATAATAGTTAAGATTCAGTTCAATAATGATTGAGTGAGAGAATGTTATATCGCAACCACAAACCATCCATCTGATTCTCTTTCTTATTAATGATAACATCACTCCAAAACTGATGCTTGTAGTTCAGTGTCTTTAAAACAAGCAGTTAAAAAAGCACACACACACAACAGAAACATATCCAAGCATTACATAAGAACGTGTACCTCTGAACTAATACTGAATAATAGACTGTGATCGCGTAGCACTTTTAAGGTTGTTTCAAATGTTTTTTTTTCATTGAATTGCGAAGTTCCTATCACTTCCCAGACGTTAATCCGCGAACCAAATCCTTGTAGGCATTGGATTTGATACATTTCTCAACTTCTATGAAATTCTCAAGTTAATAAGGTCACTTCCTTGCACTTTAAGAATGTTCACAAACTGGAGGGATCGTGTAGAGAACGAAATTTAAAACAGAGAATATCAATTATGGTTCTATACTTATCAAGAATTGGAGAATTGATCTATAATGAAAACGACTAATTACGTAATGAATGAATAAGGCTTTTCAAACTCAACGTATACGCTGAGATATAGTAATGAATACTAAATCAGATTCACTGTGAGAAGCAATGGTCTTTTCCTGCAATTAGTTCCATTGATTTAGTACAGTAAAACAAAAACAATTAGAACAGTTCATTTCGTGTGCTCTAAACCGTTTTTTTTATATGCTCACTGATCTGTATAAATAAACAAAGTATTTGAGAAAAGTAGTTTGCTGCGTAACATAAGGAAAATTACTTAGTTAACCAGGAAAAAATTAATGATAATTACTTTCCATATTGATACAAGTTTAATTTTTAGATGAGGGGAATAAGTAAAGGAGAAAGAGAAGGTGATGTAAACGAATACAAAAAACGAACAGATTGTGACTGTTGATAGATAAACAGTCACAAATTTGTTAAATAAGACGATTAAGTATCGTGATGTTGCCGTAATCTTTGTTGCAAAATGACTACGTTTCCCAGCTTCTTAACTAGTCTGAATTGATAGAGAATACAAGAATCGAATGGTCATTGGTAAGTAATACACATATTTGTATTAAACGTCAAATTGAATGTAACATGTTTTTTGAAAACACTCTTAATGAAAAACCACTTTTCAGGGTCTATTCCATAATTTCATTTAGTAAAGAATTAAGGTTGTTTATAAACTATTTCGTTACTGATGGGGTAGTTTTATAGCCATGGAATTCAAATTTACTCAACAAACAGAATATGTTTCAATAACGGATGATGAAGTCTAGAGTAAGTTGAGATAATAGTCAAATGTGCACATTTATTAGATAAATCTCTGCTATATTAGTAAACCATGTATTCAAACCATATTCATCACTATGATTCCAAAGAATGCCTCTGAAACCAGTTTAGTCGCTACCCTTCTGATTCTTAACGAGGGCATTAGAGTTCGTGACCAATCTCTCCAAGACACAACCTAATCGAACACTAAAATTATGGAGACAATGCATTTGTGTTTCCAAAAACCCATTCACTAAAAAAAGTTTCGAATTTACAATTTTTCATTAAAGTTTTAATTGTTTATTGCATTCAATAAAAAATAAAATAATGTGATAGTCACGTTTCAATTAGTTAGTTGAATTATTTTTTAAAAATAAATGATAATTGATAATCTTCATTGAATTGAATATCATTTGTTTTCATTGAATGTGATTCATTTGAAGTAATTAGTAAATCATTTTACCCTAATTTTTTTTATTTCCTTTTTGATGTTTATTGAAAAAAAATCTGCTAATCATGTGGCCTAATCCGCATACATTTTCACCTGTGTGATAACATTTTCCATTCAATTAGAAGTTTATTAATTACACAATTCAATGAATACTAAATAGGATTTTTTTTGTGATGATTTCAATATATGCACATGAAGTGTAATAATTATTCAATTATTAATTAGATATCATCATGTATCGTGTGTGAATCTTGATTATCACGGGATAATGAACCTGCTTAATGCCAAGGCAATAATACACAATAAAAAATATGACTGATGTTGAAGAGTACAAATGCACAAATTAACGTTTGTTCATTTACTGTGATTAATTTCTCTATCAGATCAGATGGAAAAAACAGTTTCATGGTTTCATCCCGATAAATAAAATGGCTGAAACCTACCGGTAAATCTATCATCAAGGTCACTTACATTTAACAGAACATATGGTTTTTATTTTACTCAATTCAGTGTAAGCGTAAAATGCATGTACGAATTATTGAAGATCTTAAATGGGTTCTGAACATTCTCAGTGAATATACTTTATTTTAAATGTATATAGCTATGATATATTACGTGGAAATAGGTTTGATGAGGACTTTTGAAAGAGAATATTCTTCGTTCCTTTATATCTATGTTCCTAAATATCCAATAGACTCATTTCTTCTAGCCAGGTTATGACCGATTATACACACTATACCAGTCAGCTTGTAGAAAGGCCTTAATTTTCAGTGCAACTGATGGTACAAAAATAATAAATCGTGTTTTGGGGATTCTAATTACGGTCTGAGAGATTCCGATCTCTATTCATTCCATCGCACCACATATTCCTCCTTTGTGAATAGAATCACTTTTTTCGTTTGAACAGTCAATTTTACAGTACATAGAAGCGGTCCTTGTTAAATATAGATTGACTTCCTCGTTAATTTTACTATCCCAAGATTTTCCCACTTATACTTTGATCTATATGAACAACTGTAGTTTCGGAAATTCCTTTCGCTTCAGGCTAATACAAAAGATACAAATAAGTTAAAAATACCATTTGAAGCTACTATACAATTTAACTACTGAGTTAATCGGATAAGTAAAATGCGCGTCAGTCACAATTGAAATACATGATTTTAAACCAAACGATTATCATTTACGATAATCATAATACTGATGTTAAAGGTACTTATTCCATACTGTTCAGATTCTTTCAGCATTTTCCTAGTTAGCATATGGGGGGGGGGGCTTGTAAAATATATCTTTTTTTCGTAATATCAGTCGGATATACACAGTCAGCTATTGATGTGTTCACTTGAGATTCGTTCCTCCACTGACCGTTCCGATAATAGATTCTTAGACTTATTCCTC